CTAGTAAACCGACAGAGTTTTGCAAATATTTATATGTTCTTTAGTGTCAACTTAGTCGGATGACACCTATCATTTTCATGGTAAAATCGACGGCCCAGCCTTCCATCTCGTTATTGGTTGTCACTTCATTATTATTAAATATTGTTTACGTATATAGAACGTAAATATGAATCCAAGCAGTGCTAATTAATGCGTAGACGTGAAAATTTATACGGCTGCCATACATTACAGCAGCCTGCATTATTGAAAACCACTAATGTGTTTGTAATTGCCTAATTCCAATGCACTTAAGGACCGATAAAAATGATCAAAATATGCGTTTAAGAGACGTAGTTTTGTCTTTAACTAGCAGAAATATCATTTCTGGAAACATGAAAGCTGTATAGCAAGGATGACACGGAATGGCGCTCCAGCTCGTCATATTTGAAAATAGCTTATCTCTGACACATATTGAATATACAATTGTATATGATTTCAATAAATCAAGAATTCAGGCATTTATCATAAGTTATCATAAGTTAAGATCAACAAAATGTTATTACTTAGGAGATACTTGTTTAGCCTAGGGTAATAATGTTTTTATAAAATTATAATGCAATGTTTAAAAAGAAAAGTAAGAACATATCGGTATGTTCGCGGGACTCCTATACCGGTACATGCAATGCTTTTTGTCGGGCTATTTGTTGGTGGGCAATCCCGCACATTTTATCAATATCATATCATTGCTTCACTAAAAATGTTAAAAGTTACACCGCAATGGCGATATTGAATTACTTAATTACTTTTGTTTGCGCAGCGTTTGCGTGGTCGTTCATTGACTAAATCTTCTTTAAATGCGTCTTTTGCTTTTGCTTCAATAAGAGCAGTCGGAAAAATAACTAATGAATAGAAAATCGCTTTGTTTCTTTCGTAAATATGAAATATATAAAAACACAATATCCATATTTTCACTCACTTTACTCGTTCGTTGAACTATTACAAGTTTCTCACTTTTCCATGAGGTACATCAATATCAATATTATATACATTCTTCTAAATGGGCATCTAAGTAATTTACTACTTTATACTTATGGTTTTGGATAAGTATGGGATGCCCAAGATTTTGGAAATATAGACATATTTATTCTGGCATTTCGTCAACGACTGAACAAAAATGGCATAATACTATAAAGACTGCGTCCCATTGTTACCATTATATTTTTTTAAGTCAATAAAACCCTGAACGTTATCTTCACTGTGATATTCCGAATAAAATACATGGTTGCTCTTGCAAGGTTTCCGTGTTCCTAGCTGTCATAAATTTACTATTGGAATGGGAAGACAAAATGATGTGTACACAACTTCATGAAACAATATGCTTATTTTGTTTTAACCAAAAATAATGTATTTGCTATTGATTGGGAATTGTATGCCTTTTTTTCAATGTTCTAAGTATAATTATATTGGAATTAGTCCTCTTTGTAACTGGTATTTAAGTAGTAAATTCTTTAACAGAAGGTAACGGGTCAAATTGATAACAGCTGGATTTGTTTTCTGCCGCGCATAAGCACAAGAGGTGTGCAATACCTGATTCTTTGACATATATTAGACACTTACTAAATACAACAATATATACATGTATAGTATGATATTCATCCGTGTTATAATTAGTATTTGAATATGACACTGTAACATATATAGTATACATGCCCGTGAAAAATACTGCCTTATCTGATAGTTTGTATTAAATCACACACTTGTAATAACTATTCACTAACGTCAACTGCTGGTCATTTACTTATTTTGTATACTAACAAAAGTGTTGTTAGATCAAGGAATTTGAAAAATACGCATACACAACGGCAAACAACAAATTAAGGTGTCGTATTTTCACGAAAACTGTTCAGTTGGAAACTTGAACGCGGCGGTAAACCGGTCCAGTTTTATTACGAACAAAACTGCGTCATAGGACTGGTTTCAATCCAACAACGGACTATTTTTACTTCTCAGGAAAAATTGTTTTACAATATTCAATTCCTTTATTTTTTAAGCATTTTATTACCATTTATATCATTTATGACGGAACGTCCAGGAGATGTATCTATTTATACGGAACATCTAGGAGATATATATATTTATACGGAAAATCTAGGCGATATATCTATACGGAAAATCTAGGACGGAAAATCTACGAGATATATCTATACGGGAAATCTGGGAGATATAGACCCTTTCATTTAAGACCGTATTCAATAAAATAGATAAATACAGAATCCCTAAAGAAAGCCCAACACGGCAAAATTGAAAAAGTTGCAGGCTCGGTTTGATTGAGCCTGTTCATGGACGGTACTGGAAAGTGCAAGTTACCGTCCACGCCCCCTAGCACCGGCTTAAGCAGAATTCAACATTTAAACATGAAATAGTAAAATTTTGAATTTAGAAACATCCGCAGATGTGTTCATACGGCGGTGATCATGGAACCTTCAATGTGACACAGTAGTGCCATTCCATGAAAAGCGGCGTGTGGTCCCCAAGTAATAAAAAGCGTGTGCCCTAAACGAGAAAACAATGGGCGGAACTAAATAAAATGGAATTTTGAAAGGGGATCAGAGGTTATGAAGCCTGCGTATCACAGATAAGACGTCAAAAGACAAATTTAAAAAGCAGGCAACATAAATGATATCCTAAGGGTGATTCAACATTATTCAAGTAGGAATATTGGAACCACCCAACTAGAAAATGCCGAAAAGTTGAAACTAAAGTTGTCGCCCTTGGATGACGTCATTGGGGGATACGGTGGACAATGCCGATACGATTAAGTAAAATAATAGATGATAGAGGGATATCAAGGGCTTAATCCTTTCTCTTGTAAGATTGGCAGATTGAAATTGCCAAATTCTGTGTAATTAAATAAGATATTACATAAAAAGGATGGTGAAATGAATAAAAATGTTTACTTAAATAAGGTTAACGAGTTGTTTTAATAGTAGACCATATTCCTGGGTAACTGATCATGATTTCCATTTTCGTTAGATTCTTAATAATGAAAATTTTACCAGGCAGTTAAATTAACTTGCTAATACCAGAGATATAAATAAGGTATATATGTCTCTGCTAATAAACAATACCCAAAAGATATTTGGAGTTTCAAACATGTAAGGATTCTGTAGTTTCGAAAAAGGGCTGCGTAATAATTAATTGCAAGATACTGGTTTATTAAAAATCATTTTGATTTAAGAATTAGTAAGACAAAGAAAAGAAAACAATATAAATCTATGTAATTTCAAAACAAAACAAAAAATGTAAAGGCATAAAAAGTAAAAATTCTTTTGAATGTACATGACTATATACAAATATATTTAAGCTGGTAAAGTAATATTTTCAACTTGATACTTTTTAATTCATACTCTGCTTATCAAATATTTAAAAAATCACAAAAAAACAAGTTGTGAAACACGTTCAAAGAAATTCGTTATTAACTGAATTATAATTTTACGTATTTCTGATGTAATGTTATAAATTTAAAAAACGCACCCATCACAGCCAAGTGCCGCTTGTATACTAGTATACAATATATGCACCCTGTTAATTAATATGTTACGGCCCAGTAGCGCTTAAATATACACATCTGTTTATCTATGAAATAAGTTACCGGGAAAAGGTCTTTAAAGAATAGATTTTTAATTTCAAAATTATCTTATTATCGTCTATTGCGAATCTAAAATTATAAAAGTCAATGCCAGAAAATCAGATGGTTAGGTCATAGTTCAAGGTCAAAATGAAACGGTATTAATCCTTGTCCGAACAATATCTTGAGCGACAATAAGCCTGTTTGTTTTAAACTTAGTAGGAATGTTTGTTTGAATTCCATCAAATCTGGGATATACGTCATCTTCTTAAAGGCGCATTATGCCTCAGAAATGAATATTTTTTTTTCATTTTTAGAAAGGGCAAACATGAGCTTTTACATGTTTAAATAATGGTTTTAGAGAATGGTTGATACATATTACCTGCAGAAAGAAGCGTTGAATGTGAAATTATTTATCATAAAAGGAGCAAAATGCAAACAAAGTAAACAATATTTAATTAATCACGATAACTGTACCAATTGACAAAAAAAATATGTTTCAGGTACTTTGCCATAGAGTGTTGTTTTGGAAACTATTACAGGACACCAAAAATGAAAAAGTTTTGAGAAATGTAATTAAAGCATTTCTTGTGTATAATTAATGGGCCTTTAAAATATCTAGGCTTATTTCTTCTCAAATTATTGTCAAAGAATAACAGAATACGTGACGTATGGATGGACAGACGTTTAAAAATATGAGCGGACGGAGAGACCATCCCATATCATAAAATGCTACCTCCTTTTATAGTCAGAGGGTAAAACGTTGTCCAACCGGCTAAATATGTTAGCCAAAGCTATATTTTGAAATAACAATGGTAAAATGAATACTATAGTTATATTACTTGCCAAGGTGATCAGTTTAAAGAAGCCATTACACAGTGCACAAACGTACGAAAGACCGGTGGGGACATTTCATTTTCATAAATTCACGGTTTCAACTTAACTATTTTAACTTCACGATTTCAACTTCACGAATTCACGATTTCAGCTTAATGAATTCACGATTTCAACTTAATTCATGAATTCACGATTTCAACTTCATGAATTCACGATTTCAAATTCACGAATTCACGATTTCAACTTCATAATATGTCCATTGTTATGTTTATTCACGGATTTACATTTGTATATTAATATAAATCCGTGGTTTATTGAAGGCCTTGTTGAAAATAAGATTTTGCATTATATATGTGTTGTCTCTAATGCTTTGATATATTGTCTTAATAATAAAGTTACCTTCGTTAAATAAAGAGTTTATTATTATTATTATTATTATTATTATTATTATTATTATTATCATAGTAGAAAATAAGAGTCCAAACGTGTACGAAAATTTTCAGTACGAAGGCTATTGATACTTCAATTTATAGTTATGTCCCTTGTTACTAAATACCCCATTTGTATCATATTAATCTGAAACTAAAATGTAACTTTCTTTCTGTCCCACCGTCAAGACAGCCTTTGGAAATCATGTTAATTGGCAATTTCTTTACTTAAGATAAATATTTTTTCATGAAAAAAAATATAGTCGACTTGTATTTGTTTTAAAAGGTAAATATTTTCAATTTTATTTTCTCATATCTTGTTTTTAAAAATTTTAACAATTTTATATTTCACCTGAGACAAAGATAACATTATCTATGTCTCTGATTTCACCCGTTAAAGAAATCTTAAAGGTCAAAATTAAATGTAAATTCTTGGACGTCATCGGTTTCCATAAATAGAGGATATTGAATGAGTGTAAATTCAATACTGAATTTATTGCACAAGTTGAATAAAATTATATTATGCGAGCCTCTATCGAGCATAATAATTATATTATATTATTCAACGAGTTAAATAAATTCAGTATTGAACTTACACCATTAAGGGGGCAGGGGACATATTCGAATGATGGCCCCGTCAAATTTTTTAATAACTCAGACATGGTGTTTTGAAGGTACTGATAACTTCTGATATTTCTCTGTCATTGTAATTCTTTCTTGTTTGTGTGTAGGAAATGAGGTTTTTTGGGGGGGTTTTACTCGAAACTAAGCATTTTGGTGGCTTTGTATGTATTTCTGTCTCTCCGAATGGAGGTGAAAAAGTTTAAAATCAAGCTTTGACAGTTGGCGCCAAACAAGTAGGAAATTTCAGATAAATTTTGTGAAAAATCTAAACGTATGACAGACACTTTATTTGTCATTTCTGAAAATGCCATAGCTTACACTGCGTGTTACTGATATTTTCAAAGGAATCGGGCGGATTCTGGAGTATGCTGCACCTTCATGAAGATTGCCTATATTGGTATATTTTAGGTGTGATTTTGGCTGGGTGGGGGTAAATATAAATTGCTGTAGTCATTTTTTGAAGGAGCAATGCATGCAAACTATTATTTTCTTCAATGTATGTCATATATCATTGAATAATGCTGTGCAACTGGTTATCTGCCTGTGAAACAGATTTTGAAATATTTGGAATTGTGTTTCTGGTCACACTGAAATACAAAATTTTTCATTTTTAGGTCCCCTGCCCCCATACACCCATAAACACTTTCAATATGATCTACGTAAATAACCGAGGTATATCGAGTGAAAAAATACGAGTTGCTTCCCTTATCTTCGAGTAAAATCGATATCGCTTATGCTAAAACAATACAAAATAAGCTGTTTTTAAACTGCTAGTTTGTTGTGATTAAATGTCCGATTTTAAAATGTATTACACCAATAGAAAGCTTAGGATCTTAGCTTCGTCACAGTATAAAATTCAACACATCTTTGGACTTCAAAGTATTTTAATTAACTGTTAAACCTACCATATGTCAGACAATTTTACATACGATTTATACAGTGAGGTACGCAATCCGTTATCTTAACTCGAAATTCTGCTGATATGAATAGCCTGTCGTCTGCTAGTTCTGAAAGTGTTTATCGGTGTATTTAATATTCTAATTATCACATACCCAAAATAAAGACCGTTTAAAGTGATAAAGAGTCATTTTTCATTGACCCCCCTATAGTATAACGTTAACAATTACCGCATATTTACACTATGTTTGTATAACGCTAGAGTTAGTGTACCCGGTTCCACACAGGACCCTGTCCCGCACACTTTCCCATTTTTCATTTTTTCTTGAAAATTCAAATGAATTTATTAAGTTTTCATTTGTGTTTCACTGACCTGGCATGTTTTCAACAGCATATGACATAATCTGGGACGTTGCTGTGTAGGTCACACATAAAAACAACTTATTCAGCAATTAAACCATGCTAATTATCCCCCGCTGATGGAATAGGGAGGGGGATATTGTTTTGGCATTGTCCTTCTGTCCATCCATCCGTCCGAATTTTGTTCCGGATTAGTTCTCTGCAACTACTGGCTGGAATTCAACAAAACTTTATGGGAATCATCAATATCAAGAGGAGAATGATGCGCATATCGTCAACTTGTTCCGGTCAGACCATTAAACTCTAGAGTTATGGCCCTTGATTAGTTATAATGGATTATACATACAGAACAATATTCATTTCCCCGCTTCTTCTCTGCAACTACCGAGAGGAGATGCGCATATTGTCAGCTTGTTCCGGTCAGATACTTTAACTCAAGAGTTATGGCCCTTGATTAGTTTTATATGCAGTATGCACATAGAACAATATTTGTTTCCGTGCTACTTCTCTGCAACTACTAGCTGGAATTCAATGAAACTTAATGGAAACCTTTAATACCAAGAGGAGATGCGCATATCATGGCCTTGTTATGGTCAGGCACTTTAACTTAGGGTTATGGCCCTTGATTAGTTGTGCAGTATGCATAAGCAGCATATAGAACAATATTCGTTTCCGTGCTACTTCTCTGTAACTACTGGCTGGAATTCAACGAAACTTTATGGGAATCATCAATATTAAGAGGAGATGCGCATATCGTCGGCTTGTTCCGGTCCGACCCTTTAACTCAGAGTTATGGCCCTTGATTAGTTATGTAGTATGCATATAGAGTAAAAATCGTTTCCGGAGTAGTTCTCTGCAACTACTGGCTGGAATTCAACAAAATTTTATGGGAATCATCAATATCAAGAGGAGATGCGCATATCGTTGGCTTGTTCAGGTCAGACACTTTAACTCAGAGTTATGGCCCTTGATTAGTTATGTAGTATGCATATAGAGTAAAAATCGTTTCCGCACTACTTCTCTGCAACTACTGGCTGGAATTCAACGAAACTTTATTGGAATCATCAATACCAAGAGGAGATGCGCATATCGTCGGCTTGTTCTGGTCAGACACTTTAACTTAGAGTTATGGCCCTTGATTAGTTATGCAGTATGCATATGGAGTAAAAATCGTTTCCGCAATACTTCTCTGCAACTACTGGCTGGAATTCAACGAAACTTTATGGGAACCTTTAATACCAAGAGGAGATGCGCATATCGTTGGCTTGTTCAGGTCAGACTCTTTAACTCGGAGTTATGGCCCTTGATTAGTTATGCAATATGCATAAAGAGTAAAAATCGTTTCCAGAGTAGTTCTCTGCACTTACTGGCTGGAATTCAACGAAACTTTATGGGAATCATCAATATCAAGAGGAAATGCCCATATCGTTGGCTTGTTCCGGTCAGACCCTTTAACTCAGAGGCTAATGGGATACTAAGAGGAGATGTGCATATAGTCGCCTTGTTCCAGTCAGATACTTATAACTCAGATTTATTGCCCTTGATTAGTTATGTAGTATGCATACATCTCATTGGCATTTCCAGATTTTACTATTTAACACAAAGTTATGGCTCTGTTATTGCCCTGAATATTTATCAAGTTCAAAGAATATTACTGTGTATGCCATGATTGATATATAAATAAAGCGTTATGTCTTCAGTTGTTGTGTTAATAATAACCAGTACTCGGCTGGGGATATAAATTCAACGAATTTGCTTGTTGTATTAGTAATAAGCAGTACTCGGTGGGGGATATAAATTCAACGAATTTGCTTGTTGTATTAGTAATAAGCAGTACTCGGTGGGGGATATAAATTCAACGAATTTGCTTGTTGTATTATTAATAAGCAGTACTCGGTGGGGGATATAAATTCAACGAATTTGCTTGTTTCTATTTTAATGATAAGATTATTATAAAATATATATTTGAAAAGAAATATATGTTTTTGTAATGGCAAATTTGCTGTTAGTTCACATGAATTAACTTCTCCCAACTACCAAACATCAAGTCATTTCACCTTGATTCTTTTGTGAAAATAATACCAAGCTCTTAATTGGACAAATCATAACTAAATAGATGAAAAAACTCTCAATAATAATTTTTTATGTATGTGTTTACTACCTACATGTTGTAAAAATGTATGTTTCCATTGCTGTTACATGTTTCCTGTGTGCTTCTATGTGTTATGAAGCAATAATTTCACCCCATGTTTTATATTACATAACATTACATTAGTTGTTTTAATTATGTATATTTCATATTTCATTTTGCAATTTTATATTTCATATATTTGTACACCTATGATATTTTGACTTATTTATTTCAACTGTGTTTTTGTAATGCTGAGATTTCAAACTTTGGAAGTATACTTTTTGATAAAGATCATTTCCTCCAATTAACCCTTAAGTCATTAATCTATTTTGAAAAGAACTCTTTTTGATTTGACACATAAGCTGACACTTGTAGTAAAAATATAAATCTTATTTTCCTGTCTCTTTTATTGATTGTTAATGATAATTTCCTTATCAACCTTAGGCAAGAATAAAAAAAGGTAATTATAGTCAAAGTCACACTATCATTTCAGCTTATCTCTGTTTAAGTGTTATAATTATTTTATTTCTTTTGTTAGATCTTATGTGATAAAAATCTCATCCCTTCAGGACCAAATATTGGCAGGACCAACCTGTATATAAGAAAAGACACAAACTATGCAGTCATATTCGAACTTTGACTGCATAAATAAAACTTATTTAAATTGTGATTTTATTATTTTCAATTAACCATTGTCTTAATTATACAGGTATATGTCTTTTATATTTACTACTATTATTTTTGTATCAAGTTTTATTGGTTTCTCAGCATAATGTTTGTAAATACTGTTTTCTGTAATATTGTTGTAAATGTTTAATTTAGCTATGAAAATGTTATTTAACTGTAATTTTAATAAGTATTTTTATAACTTTGAAAGTTATGTAAATAGCTAAAAACTGATAATTAGGAATTTAAAAAGCTCATTGATTTTATCCTTTGGTTCTTCTCACATGCAAGTGAATGCTCAAAATAACTCTAATTCCCCAAAACATTATTTATTTTCATATTTAAGCTAATTCCCCAAAAACAATTTAGAGATTTCATATTATGTTTTAAATGTTTCTTTAATATTTGTTGTATTTGTATTAAGGGCATGTTAATACTTTTATATAAATGCTACAATAAGGTACTACTTATAATATTGGTACATGAAATGCATCTGTAATTGTATTATAATTATGTTCTTAAATACATGTACATGTATATGTATATATTCCAACTTTGACTGTATAAATAAAAATTATTTAAATTGTGATTTTATTATTTTCAATTAACCATTGTCTTAATTATACAGTGAGACACAGGGAACGAAAATATATATTCACCACCATTAATAAACAACAAAAAGAGACAGACCCACAAGGCGTAATATATGCTTGGAAATAAATGTTTGTATACTGTAGTAAGAACATATGCATTAAATTTATTTGAAGTCCTGAAAATTTGCAAAAAAATATATCTTATCTGGACTTAGAGATGTTAAATAATTTATAAAACATGTTTAAGATGTAAAATAACCTTTCAGTATAAAAATGGCCTTGTGTGCGGAACCGAGTCCACTATTTATTATATTTGGCCCATTCCTGTTGCTTAAAATCAAGTGCGCCTACTTAAGATAGACAGGTTTTGGTCATCAGTTTTTATGGGCAAAGGGTGTAATTATTTTCAAAATAAAATAAGAATTTTCAACCATAAGATAATTTTCTTATTTTTCCTTAAAAAAGTGTACGACACCGGGTACACTGACTAATGACATCACGTCAAAATATATGCACGGCTGTGCAATACCATTTTTAATGAGTCGCAAAATCGGCACGGGTATGTGATAAATGTATCAACTATCATAGAAAATAATTAAACAGAATTTCCCATACTGACTCAAAGTTTATTTTAGATGATTCAGTTTGCCTTTGATGTAAAATTATGTAAAACAAATGCGTCAATACGTTACGATTCTGAAATCAATTTGATTTCGGTAAATCAACTTTTCATTACTGAAATCAACTCATGAAATTACAATTTTAGTCATATTTTTGGTTATTTATGATAAAAGAGAAAATATTTCAGGTGTTAAACATTATTTTCTCATAAAAACCTGTTTTAACTATTGCTGGATATGACTTTACTACCTGTTTTTTACGCATGATTTATTCACATACACTTGGGGTGTTGAGCTCAAAACGCCTTTAAAATCCAAACAAATGTATATTTGTCAATCCTAGCACATGTACTGATCATATGTATAAAATAAAACTTAATATAAGCCTATTTGAAAAAATATCATATTTCAACGTCTATAATAATGCATCAGAGACGTTGATATATGAAATTTTGTCAAAGTGGCTTATTTTTCCCTTTCGTGCCTGAAATAATGCACAGAAGGGCACCAGAGGTATTCCTCCACCAGTAAAGCTGGAACGTCTCCATATGACTTATACTGTGTCGATGTGACGTAAAACCCAAAACAAACAAACAAAAATCTCAATTTTCCTATGATCAGAGAGCTAAATGTCTCAACTTTTTTGGCTCGACTTTTTTAAAAAAAAGTAAAGGTATTGTAATAATCCTGGCGGTGTTGCCGTCTTCAAACTTGTACCTTGATCATAACTTTTTAAGTTCTTGCTGTATTGTCTTCATACTTGGCCGCAACAACCCTTAGTGTGACAAGACAGACCTATAGGAAAACTTTTTTCCTTAAGATAATTAGATTTGTTTTATCTGTTCATTTGTTTGCTTTTAGAAAAAGTAAAAAAGTCAAGCGTTGCCCCCACTTGGCTGTGGCTCTTGTTATTTTTTGCATTAAAAGAATTAGTAAAAAGAAAGAAAAAAATCAATGATGAAATTTAAAATTGTTAAGGGCATGAGAGACTTTTTATGAGACTTATATACATGTATGCAATCATTTGAGCATATTAATTTTATACATAAGACATTCATGTGTAACACTTTATTTTTTATTTACAGGGTTTTATTGATGACTAGAATGATTTGATCTAGAGAGAAACTTGAAAAGCCATCATGTTTATAAGGATTGAGTGAGTGTTTGCAATTAATCAGATACAAATATGTACAAATATGGAAAAACAATGTACAATTCACAGAAGAGAAAATTGTAAATGCAACGTTTGTGAAAATACACTTGCTATGAAAAATTCTCTTTCTAACCATATGGAAATACAAACAGATGGGAAGAATTATAAATGCAATGTGTGTCTGAAAGGCTTTACTAGGAGAAAAAATCTTAATATACATATGAAAATTCATACTGGTGAGAATTGTAAATGCAATGTGTGTCTTAAAAGCTTTACTAGGAGAAAAAATCTTTATACACATATGAAAATTCACTCTGGTGAGAAGAATTATAAATGTGATATATGTCAAAATGCATTTACACATAAAGGTACACTGAATGCACATATGACAATTCACACTGGTGAGAAGGAATATGATTGTGATATATGTGGTAAAGCTTTTCGATTAAAAACTAACCTTCGTGCACATATGTCAATTCATACTGGTGAAAGGAAATATACGTGCCAAATATGTAATAAAGCATTTACTCATAAGAAATTACTTTCAGTACATATGAAAGTTCACACTGGAGAGAAAAACCATACTTGTGGTATATGTTTAAAAGCATTTAGGCAAAAAAGTAATCTTTCTGCGCATATGACAGTTCACACTACTGAGGAGAAATATGCATGTCATATATGTGACAGAACTTTTCATAGCAAAGACTATCTTTCCAGACATAAAGAAATTCACACTGAAAGGAGAAAATATAAGTGTAATATATGTGATAAAGCATATCTTAATCTTTCTAAGCATATGACAGTTCACACTGGTGAGAAGAAATATAAATGTTATACGTGTGATAAAGCATTTCCTGGGAAGAGGTATCTTCCTGTACATATGAAAGTTCATTTTCCTGATTTGAATGTCCATGCTGTTGAAAAGACCTTTACATGTAGTGTTTGTAATAAAGCATTTTCTGAGAAAAGATACCTTTCTAAACATACAAAAATTCACACAGGTGAGAAGTATGTATGTAATATATGTAATAAAGCATATTCGGATAAATATTTCCTAAAAACACATATGACAATTCACACAGGTGAGGAGAAATATAAATGTGATGTATGCAATAAGGCATTTACATATAAAAATAGTCTTTCTCTTCACATGAGAGTTCACACTGGAGAGAAGAAATATACATGTACTATATGTGAAAAGGCATTTACCCAGAAAAGTAATCTTTCTAAACATATGAAAATTCATGCTGGAGAGAAGAAATATCAATGTGAAATATGTGATAAAGCATTTATTCAGAAAACTAATCTTTCTATACATATGAAAGTTCATACTGGTCAGACATAAACTGGTTGAAACTTGAGAGAAGAAATATATATCTAATGCTATGTAGTAAGTGATAAAGAATTTACAAAAAAGTAAAATCTCTGATGACTCTACATATGAAAATTCATGATGGAGAGAAGAAATATATAAATGAAACATAATAATTTGATGAAGTATTTTTTCTAAGAATTTTTTTTGTGTACATATACTTTACTGAGAAGAAATATATATATAAAATATAAGATAAAGCATTTACTCAGAGATATACTCCCCTTCTGTACATATGTGGGTTCATACTGGTTAGAAGAAATATCAAGACGGCCTCCATGGTTGAGGGGTTAGAGACTCGATGACCTTTAATCCAGTTACCTCTCTGGCGTGGGTTTCATCCCCGGGAGATGCTTTGATAGTTTAGCGCGGAGGAAGGTAGTCTAGTACTGGTGTAACTATAGGAAACTACCCGCCTATATATCTGAAATACTGTTGGGAAAAGGCGTTAAATGAAACAAACAAGAAGAAACATCAATGTAAAATACAATGTATAATATTATAAATATTAAAGAATAATGTCGTAGCAGCCGTATGCGCCAATCATTTCTTAAAATTTGATTTAGAATAAAATATGGTTCGTTTACTTACTGTCCTATTCGTTTTGACAATAGCGTTGCACATGTTCGACATTACTTTTACGTTAATTGCACATTCCTGCCTTACTGGATATGCACGGTGATAGTGCAAGATACAGAAAGATGCCCCAATACCACAAGTTTCTCCTGTTTCTTGAACGTGCCAAGTGTTTTAGCACTCTTACACGGGACCTCGATTTAAAGTCTCATCCGAAAGACGGATTAGTAATTTTATAGTTGGCCAGCCCGGGAATCGAACCCCCAATGTCGAAAGTCTTGCCCTCTAACCAAATGAGCTATGTGGGCTGGCAAAAACTACCAGATGTATTGTGTGTGTGAGCGCGCGCGTGCGCGCGTGTGTGTGTGGGTCTGTTTACCCTCGCCACCAAAAAAGAGACCATATGGGCGAGCATACTACCAGATGTATGTATGTACTTAATTCTTAATGAGGGTCCATCCGCCCGCAAGGGCACAAAGCAGCTGTCGCTGTCGAGTACGGACCCCGGACATGTCACCAGTGGCAGTCATGCCCGTAAAGAGTTAATTTTGAAGCACAAAGTGATGATAATTTACCTCCATGCATTTTCCACGGAGTATTAGCCAAAGATATGAATTTTGAGCCAAAACTTAAGTAGGTCACTGTACGGCGGTTTCATGAGAACCTAAATGTACAGTAACCTTCTGACAATATGAAAGGGTAATCCTCAAAAGGGCTGTTGGTGTCAGCAAAAGGCCTGCCATTAGTCAGGACACCGGCAGCTGGTCCGCAGCACAAGTTCCGATCTTTTTTCGTCGTCCCCAGTCTTCAAATCTTCTGCCGATGCCCTGTGCCTTCTCAGCGACGTGCACGCTCCGAGGGGAAGTGAGAAGGGTGCTACCAGATGTAATGATGATGATGAAGTTAAAGCTTAATGAGGGTCCATCCGCCCTTTCGGGCACAAAATGCAGTTTGCGCTGTCGAGTACGGACCCCGGACATGTCACCAGTCATGTCCTTAAAGAGTTAATTTTGAAGCACAAAGTGGTGATAATTTACCTCCATGCAATTTCCACGGAATATTAGCCAAAGATATGAATTTTGAGCCAAAAGTAGGTCACTGCACGGCGGTCAATGAGAACCTAAATGTACAGTAACCTGTGACAATATGAAAGGGTAGCCCTGAAAAGGGCTGTTTGCGCCAGCAAAAGGCCTGCCGTTCAAGCCGTTTAACCGTGCTAGGGGCTAACGCACCCTAGCACACCGTCCTCGTCGACCCAAGCGCCTACTTTGTAGGGCCACTCTCCTCAGCATTAGTCAGGAGACCGGCAGCTGGTCCGCAGCACAAGTTTCGATCTTTCTTCGTCGTCCCAAGTCTTCAAATCTTCTGCCGATGCCCTGTGCCTTCTCAGCGACGTGCACGCTCCCTGGGAAGTGAGATGTTTTTTTTTAATGCGTTTATTTAAGGTCGCCGCCGGAAAGCCCATATGGGCGACCGTTCACTCAAGTCGGGCCATCCTAGAGCGTCCCGCCGAGATTTTTTCGTCGATTTTTTCCAGCTTTATTGGTGGAGGAAGACCCCAGGTGCCCCTCCGGGCATTATTTCAGGCACGAGCGGGCACCTGGGTAGAACCACCGACCTTCCGTAAGCCAGCTGGATGGCTTCCTCACATGAAAGATTTCGACCCGAGTGAGGATCGAACCTACAGCGGTGAGGGACCTGTGATCTCAAGTCAGCGACCTTAACCACTCGGCCACGGAGGCCCATCTACCAGATGTATTCAGTGTTGTTAGTATTTAAAGACTATAGCTCCGCCTACTTAATTATATATATGCACACTCTGAGAACTCTCGGTGACCCCGTTGGGATTTCCCTATCCTCTATCAAACCCAATGATAGATTCTATTAATCCCATCTTTCTCCCATGACACATGTCGTACGTATCTTCAGACGGCCCTGTTACTGGAGATATATATGGTATGCTCATAACACATGTACTGATATAACAATTAGTAAATAAACATCAGATCCCCTATATTTAGGTATACGCTCGCCCATATGGTCTCTTTCGGATGGCGAGGGTAAACAAACCCCAAATACACACACAAAATGACTGCTAAAACCAGAGACATAGATAACAGAGATAAGCAGCTCCTATATACGCCATTGCAATATCACTCATGCCTATCAAATAGTGAAAAATTAGGTATTTTGTAGCAAACAAAACTTTATGGATGTATATTTGATCCTATAATACTATATACCATTTGAAAGGTAAATCTTTTATCTATTGCTGCATGTTAAAATATTGGTAACTTTCCATGCCTTTTACTTAGAAAAACATGGCAAAACATACCCACTGAGCCAGTTTTTTGTCATATGAATAGTTTTTGTAACAAAAATTATTAAGTAGTTCTCTTTAAAAATTGATGTAACATTTATTTAATTGGGAACTGTAAATATTTTTACCTGCAGCCATAGAAAAATGCATAAGCTTTCAGAAAATGTATTATTTTAATGATTTTGATATCTGGTTAATAAGTTTTACTTGCTACAAGTTTTAAGTTTAGCAGGCACGCGTGTTATATACGTCTCTGCTATAACAATCTTGTTTTTTACGAATTTGGCATTCCATTGTACGTATAACTGATAAAATTAGTCTCCTTCACACATAAATAAACACAGACCACATTGAATAGCGGTAACTACGTTCCTGACATTGCTTTAAAAAGAATCTTTTCGGTAAAAAATACGATGATAATATATAATCAATTGTCCTGTTATAAGAGACAGTACTCTTTTTAAACGTCTCGGCCATTTAACTTTTTTTAATTTAAATATGCTGTTCATTAACTCATTAATACACATCTTTGTAATTTAACTATAGGTATGAGCTAGAGTAATCACAACTTATTCCTATCATAAGTTACGTACTCGTGTATACGAACTTGTGATAGGTATACAGTTTTCGATGCTTGATGTGCTAGGAAAGACCAGAAAAAATTACAACACTGACGTGAAGAGTAAGGAAACCTAAACGACTGTCAAATTTCATATTTCATGATAGATACCCTGAAGAAACAACTTTATTGAATTAACTAAAACAATGTTCCAAATGAATAAATTTAAGTTCTATGGACAGATATATACTCTCAGACCCAGGACTTTCAGCGGATACGGCAACAGTTGAAGTTACAACAATGGCTGCAAAACCAACAAATTGGCAAATTTGTCAGAATTAAAGTGATGAACCTAATCATCTTGAACTGTATATGGATGTGTCGGGTGTAGTATTGCAGGCATTCTGAGTCAAGACAAAAGTAATCACATATCCTAATAGAACAACGATAACAAAACTTGAGGCATTGAGTTTTGTTTTTGGCATATAACATTTAAAGAATTTGCTCGGTGGTTACTTTTTTGTTGGGTTTAACGTCCCACTAATACAGTACAATTCGACTTTCCAGCTTTATTGGTGGAGGAATACATAAAGTGGGGACAGATCAAAGTCATAAGAAGGCATTAAAAAATAACCATCCAAAATGCAAACAGAGATTGCTATTGGGCTAGCTCCAGGGGTCACATCACTTGTTAAGGCGTTAAATTGGAAACACGTGTATATTTTCTTGTGAGAACCTCAAGGCGCAAACCTCAGATTCATGTATTTAGAATTTATATTGGCAGACCACTGCAAATATCTGAAATATCATGCAACTGGGATCCAAATCTAATATAAATACTTACATCTGCATTAAAGAGCTATGTCCTTTATAGCATTGGGTCTCAGATGAGCGATCTAGGCCTTTATGGTCATCTTGTATAATAATTATAAAGCACCAAATGAATGGACAAATGATTATTAATCGTCATCTATTTTTAGACTATTCAACGATGTCTTATCATATAAGGCAATTAAAAGCAAATTATATATTTCCTACCAAAATATATATACATTTCATTGATTATACTTATATAGTAACTAAATTATTTTAATTAAGAGATAGTTAACATCGCTTTTCGTAATTCCTTACCTGAATATTTTACTAGTATTGAAAATAAGATAAAATCTTAACCAAATTGAATGTCAAAGCGTCTATACATAATATTTAACAAAGTATCCCTTTTCCTGAAGTTTGAAAAAATTAGTTTTATCAGGGTAACTCTCGGAAACAAAGGGATATGCACACTTTTGTAAAATATGTACATCAAGTAATGATTAGTATGTTGAAAGGCATTATTTTATTTTTCATTCTAATTTCAATAAAATATTCAAGTATGTAATTTCGATAAATTTTAAGTGTTATTTTTACAATCTAGTTATTGCAATTTAGAAACAAATTTAAGTGTCGCCAACGCAATAGTTTGGGTAGGAAATTATTTACATGTATTCAGAAGAGAATGGCGGAATCCAAAAACATAAAAATTTGAAAATATATTAAAATTTTAGTAATTGCATGCAATAAGTAAGAAGACATTGCTATTAAAGTTCGGTTCAACAATTAATGTCACATACTTAGAGTTCTTTACCATTGTGCTTGAGGGACCTACCTTTTTACTAATATTTTACCAGTATATGATACTGATTTGTACCTTCTGCACAACAGTTTTGTCTGTATGTATTTAAGTCTTAAGGACTTAAGGTGTCAGTTTTTGCACTTTTTTATTACGGTTGATAGATTTTACCAGTGGATTGAGTAGCGTCTATCCACGAATCCGCGGTCTATCACACAATTCTAACCTGCACGTATGGCCATAACTGTCATAAAAGAACGTAGTCATTATTGTAGAAGGAGAGGAAGAAGCCTACTTGTACATTTTTATATAAAAATCGTGGTTCATCTGGATGAGTGACGTTTCAATACGCATGTTTCATATTAGCACGAACGACAACTCTGCGTCGAAATTTCATTCAAATTAGTGGTGTTTAACCATACAAGTATACGGTGCATGAATTTATATAATTGTGATCATCGCTCAAATGGCATCTAGTAGATAGCAAGAAACCAACTATTTTTTTTCAAAGAGGTGGTAAACCATTGATATTGGAATATACATTAAGTAACCATTTTAAACCAATATGCTTCTTAAATTCTAGTTGATTGTCACTTTTTGATAAAATGACAATTCTTTCCCTCATTTTCTTGTAGATGGACACAATAACACGGAAAATCAATATTTTATGAAAAGTGACTTTAGGTAGCACTCCACACTAAATTTCAAGTTTCTGCCGTCAATGTCCTACAAGCAATATGTCTGATAAATCTGATCTCAAACTACACAACCTGGAAAAAGAAAACACATTTTGTTAAGAACATAATTATATGTCATACCATTGCAAATCTGTAATGAAATCATCTCCATGTGCAACAGTCAGGCAGTTAAAAAAAATGCCAATTCATTCCGTAAAAAAGCCAAAAATCTATAGTGGTCCGAGACCCAAAACAACATTTTTCGTCCCTCCGGCAAAAAATACCTGCAAATATACGGTCTACAAAAACTCTGTCACTGCTTTAGCAACTCCCTATGCATGCAAAATATCACAAAGAAATAGGTGCTTGGCCTTGTAGATTTTTTTGCTATTGCTGAAAGTTTGTACCCCCCTGTAAAATTACTTGTTTTCCACCGAGCATCTGCTGTTTAAAAGCAATGTTTACAAACAATGGCGACCTTGACATCAATTATTATTATCAGCATGTGATTTCTAAACCATGTTTTCGAATTTGCCAATGATCATATTACATGTCACAAAAACAAATTTCATGCTGAAAATGCATTTTAAAGACAACCAGTCATTTAAATCCACAATAGTCACTATATCCATGAAATCCTCCCTGGCCATTCGAAGCTGCGGCTTCATTTAGTGTGGTGTGCTGCCTTAGTCTTTACAACTAAACAATTGAGGTCTAGTGAGGAAGAAAGAGATTTAGGTATATTATATGATAAAGATTTGAAATTTCGACATCACATAAGTAATTGTATCAATAAAGCAAATAAAATAACTGGATTGGTCAGAAATACCTTCTTACATGTTAATATCAAGCAATTTCGGAAACTTTATAAAACACTTATAAGACCACACCTTGAATATGGAAATATTATTTGGAGTCCAAGATTTAAAAAAGATATTGAAGCAATCGAAAGAGTTCAAAAAAGAGCAACAAAAATGGTTCAATGTATTAGAAATTTATCGTATGTAGAAAGATTAAAAATTTTGGAAATTCCTACTTTGGCTTACAGAAGATTTAGAGGTGATATCATACAAGCATGGAAATTATTAAATGGGAAGGAAGATATAGATTATAATGTATTTTTTGAAAAAGCACAACTTGATAATCATCACATCAGAGGAAATTCCATGAAGTTGAAAATAAAATCATGTAAAAAGGAATTAAGAAAACATTTTTTCTCATTAAGAGTAATACCAGAATGGAATAAATTACCAGATACTGTAGTATGTTCACCAAGGCTGAATTCGCTAAAAAACAGACTCGATAAGGTTATGAAAAACAAATTATATACTGTTATACCGGATAATAATCATTGGGTGTCAGACCTCGAGGGGGTTATAAGAGATTTCTGATCTCGCGACCCTACGCTGGATAAAGTAAAAAGTAAAAGTAGATAGCACCTTGACATGATTCTTGAAGTTGTTTCTGTTGGCAAATCATTTCGACCTCAATAAACTTGAATATAACTAAATGTTCAGTGATTTTTTTTCAACTTTAAATAAACTGTTAGATCTAAAAACAACCTGGGGAAATTATCTGATTATGGCATGATCAGTCAGAAAACAGGGAAAACCTGAAATCAAATTCCAACAACTGAGAATGGAATTTATCCACACATTTTCTAAAATTTCCTATTCAAATTAAATTTTAAATAACATGCATGCATGATACATAACAGATCGAGGCTGGAGCAGAGTGGCCCCGGGCAGCTTTCTGTCTTTCAGTCAATCATCAGGTAGTTGATATAAGTTGGCTGCTGTTAAGTGTTAAGTCATATAGTTCAATCTGGTGGAAAATGTGCCAGTCATTTTAGTGGAAAATATATGATAGAGGTTTGATATCTGGTTTGTCCACAATAAAGTTGGTTCAAGTCTGATGCATACATTGTTAGTAAGTCACGATAGTTGAAATTTAAAAAGAATACTGTAATTGAAAATTGGAATCTTTAAAAATTTTCACCTTACAATGCCCAGAGCTTAGATATTAGGCATCACCTTGGGATCCTCTACAAAAGTTACATTATTTAATCATGCCATAGGGGTCTAAAAAATCATGCCACAGGGGTCTAAAATGGCAAGTTTACATAGTCTTATATGGTTAAAATATCTATGCACAGAGCATAGATTTTGCCATGGAGTTTTGACCTAGTATACAGTACAAGCTAGTGAACTGTTTCTTTTATTTAAAACCTACAGCTTAGAACTTTGGACCTTTTAAACAATAGATATGCCATGGAGTTTTGACCTTGTTTATAATCCAGTGAACTGTTTCTTGTATTTAAAACCTACAGCTAAGAACTTCAGACTTGGGGAATGTGATGGAATTGCATCAATTGTACAAAATCTTTAATACAGTCATGTTAATTTCCATATCTTTTGAAATATTTCAGGCCTGAACAAGTACTGAAAACTGGAAACACAAGTATGTGACTTTATTCATCCACAACTGAATATGTCTTTGAGGAATGAAGTGTTGAGTTTATATCGTAAACTTATCAGACTGTCATATAAATGGGAATCTTCACTCGGTAATCCTGGCAGTGATGGTAAAGAAAGAATTTATATAAGGGATGAAGCAAGAAGACTTTTTAAACGAAATAAATCGGTAAACATTTAAGTATTTTATTTGGTGTAATTTAAGGTTCGGTTTTGCAACAATTTAAACTTATTTAAGTCACATACTTAAATGCATTGTCAATTGAATGAAGCATGGTTTTGCACTATTATTTTAATTTTATTCTCTGCAAGTAAATCACTAAACCTAGTGAACCAGTGTTACAGAGATGGAATACGAGTGGCATTAGAGCTAGCTTACAGAGCATCAGTGGTTCTACTGTGAAGTTCGTCTGTGCCTGTAATAATTCACTGATAGGCACATGAGGTCATCGTCAAAATAGGGTTGCAGTGTTTTATGATTATTCAACAAAAATCAATACTGCAGTAATAATTATTACAGCATTTGTGACATAAATTGTTAACTGGTTATATGACCAAGTGAAAATGGTTGTGTGCTTAGATATCTAGCAGCTCAGGTTATATAGCATACAAACATTTGTAAAACCATATTTGGCCATATTTATTAAAATCTTTTATAAAGTTCCAATATTGCTCTGTGCTATCTTTAATTTAGATAAAGTTTAAAAAAAAGTTTTGTATTTAGATGATATAAATATCATTTTGACCAATTAGAATCAAGATTACAAACATGCAGTATTGTTAAATAAATGAGCCGCATCATGACAAAACCATCATAGTGCGTTTGCAACCAGCATGGATCCAGACCAGCCTGTGCATCCGCAAACCCATTATGTTGGTTTTGTCGTGACGCAGCTCAAATGTCAAAAAAATGTTTGTTTTTCAGATAACAGATGTAGAAGAAATAAAGCAGCATTTAAAAGAAGGTCAAACCAGATTAGAATTGGGTATGGCAATTGTCAGATATCTTACTTGTCATCTGTTAGAAAATTTAATTTATGACATAAACCAGAGTGGCACAAGAGTGTAATAAACCATTTATTAAATCAAAGGGCTGCAGCTCTATGGTATTTTCTGATCTTTGCAAGACTATCTGTAATTATTTTCCTGTGTAAGTTTATTTTTATATACTATAATTCATCTTATACAGCGACAGTGTTTAGATTTTTTTCTATAACAGTTTGAGATTGATACATATGGAATTTTGCAAGACTACGGTGAAGTTAATAAGTATGTACCTTGAATAAAAATGAATACATTATGTAATTCTAAATTGAGAATTTCCATTTCGTGTTTGTAATCCTTATTAATTTCGAGGTATTTTTTCCACGATAAACCTGCTTAACACTGATGAAAATAATTTAGCGAAAATCTTCTCGCCAAAACAGTCTGACATGTATATATTCCACTACTCGACAGTCAGATTTATTTGTGTACTACGCTCTGGATCGACATAGCTAAAAATAGCATTTTCATTGATTAAAATGATATTCATCCGAGTGCATTCATGATAATCCGAAGCTTTACAGAAATAGCCGAACAGTTTTCATTGGGTAAAAAAGATATTCATCTGCGAAATTTGTGATTGTAACCTCATATTTCTATTGACTAATCTAAACTTTTAATGCGCTGTAATTCGATGCCTACATTAAAAATTATTCTTTCTTTTAAATTGCTGGTTTTTAAGCAGTTTTGAGTGAGAACTAATTTGCGTTGTTAGGTCTGTAAGGAAATTTTGTGTTAGACCGTGGATGTTAGCTATGTATTTACTGATCTTGCGATCAGAAAATACAAAAACGATATGACACTAGTGGAATAACACATCGCCGTGACGTTATGCAAACATAGTGTTTATTAAAGCAGGCTAAAGTAAGCATTGCACCAGAGGTCCATCAAAAAACTTTTTTTTTAACTGTTGACCGTTCTTATTTTAGATGTATGATAAATAGAAAATATTATTCATGTAGATTCAATACTAAATTTATTGAGCAAGTTGAATAAAATCATATTATGCAAGAAAATGTAAGAAATAAATCTTAATTATTTTTTTATTACGTTTCAGCATTGCACTATAAGACTCCCTATCCAAGACCTGTAAGTTACTTATTTCATACATTAATTTTCAAGTTGTAAAAAGATGCTTAATCACATTGTATCTATAGTTTGATGCTAAGTTCATTAGATAGTGTATCAGATTTGTAATACAAGCGCTGCCTATTCGATACTTGGGCACGGAGAAATATCTGAGCCATGCCATGACAAATCCAACATAATGGGTTTGAGACCAGCATGGATCCAGACCAGCCTGCGCATCCGCGCAGTCTTATCAGGATCCATGCTGTTCGCTATCAGTTTCTCTACTTGTTACAGGGTCTGTAAGCGAACAGCATGGATCCTGAGACTGCGCGGATGCAGGCTGGTCTGGATCCATGGGTCGCAAACCCATTATGTTGGTTTTGTCATGGCGCGGCTCATCTATGAACATTCATCTTTGACATTAAGGCTAATGGTCATTTGTCTCTTGCGGCTAATTAAGAAATTTAGAAATTCTGTGACTTGCTGAGAAATTGCCCGCATGATGTTTTAATATGGTCTGCACTGTTTTCTATTCAGTCATAACATAGATTGACATTGTTACTAAAAATGATGATTGGTTATGTTCAGATTGAAAGATGGACAACCAAATTGCATATATAAGATAATAATCATTATTTTATAGACAATAGTTTTCTCCCAGTGTTAAAGCTTTGCATCTTTATATGCCTGTTTGAAAAACGGGTCGTAATAGCGGACGGGCGGCATCCAATTTTGCTTGGAGCATATCTCATACATGCATTGAGGAATTTTAATGAAACTTCATAGAAATGTTCACCACTATGAGAAGCAGTGTCATGTGCATGAACCAGGTCTGTAGGTCAAAGGTAAACGTCACACTTACTATGTGACTTAGAGGTCATTGAAAAACGCTGTTCGGAGCAAACTTCTACATGCATATAGGGATTTCAATATAACTTGGCACAAATGTTCACCATTGTGAGGTGAAATGTCCTGTGCAATATTTAGGTCCCTGCTGCCAAGGTCAAGGTCACATATAGGGGTCAAAGTTCAGATAAAAATTAAATATGAAAATGTGTATTCGGACCATTTAGTCATCATTTATTGAGGGATTGAAATTCAAATGGTCATTATCATGACTGTGGGTGTGAAACATGTAATTTATGTTAATATATGCAAGGTCAAAGTCTGACACTAATATTTTGTCCAGAGCATATCTCCTACACATATGGAGGGATTCTAATGAAACTTCAACACCACTATGAGAAGCAGTGTCATGCGCATGAACTAGGTCGCTAGGTGAAAGGTCTAGCTCACACTTAGTGGTCATTGAAAAAGTCTTGTCCTGAGCAAAACTTCTACATGCATAGAGGGATTTCAATATAACTTGGCACAAATGTTCACCATGGTAAGGCTAAGTGTCGCATGCAAAATTCAAGTGCCTGTGGCCAAGGTCAAGGTCACATATAGGGGTCAAAGTTCAGATAAAAATATGAAAATGTGTATTCAGACCATTAAAAATTTAAGTCATCATTTATTGAGGGATTAAAACACAAAATTAATGGCCATTATCATGACTGCCATTGTGAAGCTTAAGTATTGCGCACATAATCCAGGTCCCTGCTACCAAAGTCTAGGTCACATAGAGAGGTCAAAAGTTTGTGTACGGCGACCATTTAGTCATTATTTATTGATTGATTGTAACACAAATGATAACTATCATGACTACAAGTGTGACACATGTAATTTAGGTTAATATTTTCAAGGTCACTAGAGATGTAAAATATCCAGATATTGTCCCGATATTCTCCTATATGCATTTCTTTAATGCCCACATCTCTGGCAAAAGTTTTTGTGACGGGCGTATTTTGTGACAATGTTGCCCTTGTTACTCTTTAAGTATTCTTTTTGTTTAATACAACAGAAGATCATGTTGAATGTTTTCAGGTACATTTACCACAACATGTTTTACATTCACCGAAGGACAAGAGGTTAAAAGCCCAGAAGAGAAAACTGGAACAGTCTAAACCTATTTATATAAAATCTTACACAGATGAATCCTGACACAACTTGTGTCCGAGAACTTTATTTGGAGATATTTAATGTTGAAACAAAGCAGTTAGACTGCACAGATTTGTACTGGTGGATTAATTATATTGGTATTCCAAGAATAGATTAATACCTTTAAAACAATTGTTAAATTTTGTTTATTGAATGTTGTTAAAGGGACTCAACTGAGTTTTTTAACATGACAGGACTGGAAATAATTTTTAGAAATTAATGCTCCATTTGATGTAGGTCTAGGCTAATAACTTGTTTACAAAATTTAAGAGCGTTCGCTCACTCCGATTTTCCAGAAACTATTCAAATTGTTCAACATGACCCAAATTTGAAGAGCACTATTTCTGAGTAAATTTCTTAATAATCTATTGCATATCTTGCTGTTTTAAGTGCCCCAGCTGATCTATGTAAGAGTTTCAAATTTTATGTTTGTAGGTTTTTGGACCTCAGTAGAGTTCCTTTAATACAATATTAAATAGTATGATAACAAACATTATCCTTATATGATGTTAAGTATGACACTTCAAAAGTTTTGTTAAGTGAATCAATGTTGCAGGGTTGTTTTGTATTTAGTTCTATGTAAAATTCATTTTCCTTCATTTGTATCAGTCAATTGAATTTTTAATAACTTAAATAAACATTGTAGATATGCTGAATGAAATTAGAAAAAAGAAAGAATATAGTTTTCAAGTTTAATAATAAAGGTTGCATTTGTATTATTTTGTTTGTATTTATTTACCCGAATGAACTTTTGTGGAAGAAAATTTTGAAAAAAAGTCTGAGATATAACTTGGGGTAGGTAATTAAAATAATCAAATGTATCTATTTGAAGCTTTGTGGTTAAGGTCTCCTCTCAAGTCAGATCATTTATTTGAGCCCTATTTAGGTCATGGTTGTGTCTCCACCCGACACTAGTACTAGTTCAAGTTCCAGGAAGCAGAACCAAAAGTGATTAAGTTCCAAGAACTTTTTGGCTGATTTGAATTTGGAACTCTTCATTGTCATTTGAAAAAAACTTCATTCAGTATAAAAAGCAAAAATTTAGCAGCCATTAAAATAGCCTGATGGGACTGCATTTGTGATTACTGGTAGATAAAATTTATCTTAAAAAGATTTATATTTTAAAAGATTTTTTTACTTTTAAGTGTTCTTGTATTAATATCAAGAAATTATTTTTATCTGTTAGAAGATAGACAACTTTTGAGGTAATAATGAAACTGTGCAGTGGTGAGTTAGTTCCCTTGCATTATTTGCTGGCTGTACAAATAAAAGCAGTGCTTCGTTTATCCATGTCATCTTTTTTTTTTTGAGATGGTAAGTGAAATCCCATACATTGTATATCCTTTTAAAATCTATTCCTTGGAATGGTTAACCTTTACACTGGGTGATTTTTTGGGTGAAAGGATTTTTGTTCCCCAGCATTTCTGTTAATTGGGTTTTAAAGGGGGTTTAAAGTGTAAAAAAAGGGGCCCTTTGTGTTTTAAAAATATGGTTTTGGGAAATTTTTTTTTAAAAGAGGGTTTCCCCTTTTACCCCCTTAACCCCACAAAGCTGTACATTCATGTTTTGCCTTCCAAACCAAAGCATTTAAAAAAAACCGTTAAAAAATTTTTCTGTAGGTTTCCCATTAAAAAGCATGGCTGACACCCCAAATGTTTAATTTAAAAATTAAAGCCAATTGGGGGGTAATTTTTTCCTCGGATTATATGAAAATAATTTTCCACTCCCGGAAATTGGGAAAAACCAAAAACCCAAAAGATGTAAAAAAAATTTCCCCCTTCAACCCAAAAAACATTGACTTGATGTTTCATGAACATGGTGTGGCAGTTAAAAAAAGTCAAACAAGAACCGGTTGAACCGGGTGATGCTCCCCGGGAAGGTTCTGGACACAGGAAAGTATAAAAAAAATGAACAAAGGGCAAAAACTCCAAAATTAGGCAAGGCGGAGTTATGTTTTTTTGCACTGCACTTCTATTCAATGAGATCTATCTATCTATAAAGTTTCCTGATGATATCAGAGTTATGTCCCGGGTAAAATTCAAAGTGTAAAAATGAACAAAGGGCAATAACTCCAAAATTAGACCAGGCTTTGTTTAGGTTCTTTAAGCATTGCAGTTCTATACAATTATATCTAGCTACCTACAAAGTTTCATGTTGATATCTCTAATAGTTTTAAAGTTATGTCCCGGACAAAAGTCAAAAAGTAAAAATAAACAAAGGGCAATAACTTCAAAATAAGGCAAGGCAGAGTAATGATTCTTAAGCACTGCACTTCCACCCAATGAGACCTATCTATCTACAAAATTTCATGTTGATATATCTCTTATAATTTTAGAGTAATGTCCCGGACAAAGTTCAAAGTATCAAAATGAACAAAGGGCAATAACTCCAAAAGTAGGCAAGACAGTGTTACAGTTCTTGTGCACTGCAAACCTACTTAATGAGATCTATCTACCTACAAATTTTCATGTTGATACCTCTTATGGTTTTAGAGTTATGTCCTGGACAAAGTTCAAAGTGTGAAAATAAACAAAGGGGGATAATTAAAAAATTAGACAAGGCAGAGTTACAGTTCTTGTGCACTGCACACCTACTCAATGAGATCTATCCACCTACAAAGTTTCATGTTGATACCTCTTATAGTTTTACAGTTATGTCCTGGACAAAGTTCAAAGTGTAAAAATAAACAAAGGGGAATAATTCAAAAATTAGGCAAGGCAGAGTTATGGTACTTGTGCACTGAAAACCTACTCGATTAGATATTTCTACCTACAAAGTTTCATGTTGATACCACTTATAGTTTTAGAGTTATGTCCTGGACAAAGTTCAGTGTAAAAATTGACAAAGGGGGATAATTCAAAAATTAGGCAAGGCAGAGTTACGGTTTTTGTGCACTGTACACCTACTCAATGAGATCTATCTACCTACAAAGTTTCATGTTGATACCTCTTATACATTTAGAGTTATGTCCCAGACAAAGTTCAAAGTGTAAAAATAAACAAAGGGGGATAATTCAAAAATTAGGCAAGGCAGAGTTACGGTTCTTTGGCACTGCACACCTACTCAATGAGATCTATCTACCTACAAAGTTTCATGTTGATACCTATTAAAGTTTTAGAGTTATGTCCTGTTCAAAGTGTAAAATAAACAAAGGGGGATAATTCAAAAATTAGGCAAGGCAGAGTTACGGTTCTTGTGCATTGCACACCTACTCAATGAGATCTATCTACCTACAAAGTTTCATGTTGATACCTCTTATACTAATAGAGTTATGTCCCGGGTAAAATAAACAATGGGGGATAATTAAAAAATTAGGCAAGGCAGAGTTACTGTTCTTGTGCACTGCACACCTACTCAATGAGATCTATCTACCTACAAAGTTTCATGTTGATACCTCTTATACTTTTAGAGTTATGTCCCGGACAAAGTTCAAAGTGTAAAAATAAACAAAGGGGAATAATTCAAAAATTAGGCAAGGCAGAGTTACGGTTCTTGTGCACTGCACACCTACTCAATGAGATCTATCTACCTACAAAGTTTCATGTTGGTACCTCTTGTTCTTTCAAAGTTATGTCCCGGACAAGAAAAGGGGACGGACGAACGGACGGACGGACAAGGCGGCGACTATATTCTCCCCCGAAATTTTTCGGGGAGCATAAAAAAATAATAAACACAACTGAGATGGAATAAGAATGCAACTCAAGATTTATTTTAGGCATTTGATTTTATTTCAATAATTTAGACAATATAATCTTAGTAACAATTCAATGTAATGGGAATGCCAGAAAGGTAGATAAATGTAAAAAAAAGAATGTGATGATGTTGATGATGTACAATGCATAACAAAATGATAACATATTTTAATAACCAATTTATTTACTGCTTACCGCAACCATAAGATGCTAGTCTGTGCCATAAAATTGAAATTTCAATAATAAAGTAAATACCATAGCATAGGAGGAAAGGAAAATAAAAAAAATCTTTCCAAATTTTCAAAACTACTAGAACTAGAAATGGCTTCATGCTACTAAATGAAATAATGTTTTAATCACTTGCCTCTTCATTTTATCATATCACAAGAGGTCAAAATGATTCTGTCTTGCTCACAACTTAATAATTAATAATGACCTATTCTAAGTAAGTATAAAGAGAATATAAACTGATTAAAACTAAAATATTATCAAGTGATGGTTAACTTAAAATTGGTTAACTGCACTGTAACAAGCTTACTTATAATTTGTTCTGTAATTATCTCCCTTACTCTACTAAAAACTGTGGATAAGTTACTGATTCAGTAAGATGTAAAAATAAAGAAAATAATTGCTTGATTTTAAAAGTCATATTCTCGAATAAAGCAAAACCTTTTCACTAAAGTTATTATTTGATTGAAATCTAGCCAGCCCTTTTAGATAATTTAAAAAAAAAAGTACTACGTATTACAAGAAAAACTACCATATACTAAAGGTACCATTCAGACTTTAAATTAACAACTGGCTGCAAGTTAATTTTAAGGAGAAGAAAATGTAAATGGGTGATAGTCCTCTAACAAACCTAAAGCCCATGAAAACAAAACATGCTTCTGATAGGTAATAGTTGATCTCTTATAAAAGTTATGATGATTAAAATGTGAGCTTGTCTTGTGACACCATTTCAAATGCCCTGAACACAAAACATGTTGCATAATAATGGTAAAGAGTATAATCATGATTGATATATACACTTTAAACTGAACACATAAAGTAACAATATTTGGTCCATACAATCTATGATCCCATCATAAATACAAGAACACTTTATGTGTATAACTAATTAAGCTCACCTAATTTGACATACATACATCAACAAATTAACCCTTAATATGCTCTATAACATTTAACCGGCTGAATTTCATAAATAGACTTGTCCAGCCTCCATTTTTTGGAACCATCCATTATCAGTTTTAAACATATCAAGACTGACAGCCAACAGTATAGAGCCTGGTCAGACTGCAGGATGTGAAGGCTGGACTGGCTCTATGTTGTTGGCAAAGGCTTATCAGTCTTGGTTCCAGCATTTAATTCTGACCAATCATACCTTTCAGTTCTAAGATCAAAGTACCAGGTACTTGCTTTTGTATCTAACAGCAATACACCTTCAACCTCTAAATCTATTAGTGATTAAAATAATGACAAAAAAAACTAAAATAGGACACTTGCGATCTTTATAAATTATCATGCCAAAATGTGTAAAAATAGCACCTACTCCATAAGAGATTGGTGGAAAAAAGTTTCTTGAATTTGAGGTTTTGAACCTTAGTTTTCTTGTGTGTAAATCACCAATAATAATGAATTGAAATGAGATGTTTACAGATAAAATTTACAGGATTGGTATGTTAGTTCAAACAAGATTACATACAGGCTAGATAGATGATAGTATCTTATCTGTGAGCAAATTGTAAGCTAGAAAATATACAACAATAATAAGTCGGTAATTTAATAGCCAAAACAAAATTCATTTCTCATTCACCAAATGTACCATTTTTTAACATATGGTCATAGAAACCATTTACAAAATTTCATAAATGCAAAAAAATTTAACACATCTGAATAATTGATTATGTATTACTTTTTAAAGAGTTCAGAATTTATTCAATAAAGATAACATGTTTCTCTTTCTTGAAAATTAAATAATTACAAAATATCTTGTTGTAGTAGATTTTTGAGGCTTTGTACAAATATTTTGCTTTGAGCAGGATCCTAAAAATGATACCATAAGAGACCAAAGACAATTAGGTAAATTTATAGGTCAATAATAAGAGAAGTTACCACTGCTCAAAACATAGAAATTTACTTCTTAGAATATAAAAAAAACATGATTTTTTAGTGGTCATAATACAAACAATGACCTTAGGCTTGACAATTATGTGAGTGTTCTCATTAACCAATTATCCCTAAGAAAACTTATCTACAGAGGCCTCAAAAAGTAAGAGCAGTTAACAGATGTGAATGATCATAATAACAGAGAGCACTTTATACCCTGTTGTACTGTACTTCACACAGGTTTCTCAACAGTTACTTCCCTTGTAAGTACATATGTACATTTTAACATATTCTATGGCACCAAATTATACATAACAATCTTTTGCACCGTCATAATTAAACAGAGAATAACAAATGTATCAGAATAAATTAAACTCATTTTTTTATCTGACATAAATTCGCTAACAAGTGTTTTTACACCATGGATAATTACAAAACAAGCAAAATAAAAACAGTACAAACTGGCTGAGTATTCCATGCTACATTAATAGTGACAAAATAATCTCAATAATTTAATATGGTCCATATATAAGTAACATTGAAATAACAAACAAATATAATTTACATACATAATTATATACATTCAACTAACACTGACTATAGAATAATGTTTGCCATTTAAACAGTTAACAAAGACAACAACAACAACTCCAGGTTGTGAGCTTTTACGAACATACATGCCATCGTAAATCCAAGCCACCTCATGCGCACAACTTCCTCACTAAAAATTCCTCACTAGATATACCAATCATCATAAACTTTATGATAAACTATCTCATTTGTACTATCTTAATCACAATTCCTCTTTATACAAGCTTTCAACAACTACAAAGATTTCTGCTGTAAAAACCTCTGTATGTTCTCCAGTCTGTCTGCCCATCATTTCTTCCATAGTTTTAGCACTTTTCTTTAAAGCATCATCAGTCACCTGTAAAGTCTATCACTAGCACTAGTTATGAACACACAAAGGCCAATCGCCAATGTTCCAGGATTTATGTCATGCTTAGCCACATCACTGACCAGTAGATTAATAAATACTGTTTCTATCTTTTGTCCTGTCATAACCCTGCTTCAGCCCTGTAAATATAGAAATAATATACAATATGTACATTAAGGTAATAATAATAATAAAAGTTCTAGCATATAATTTATAATCTTTGATGTCCATCATTATATAAACCTGATATAATCATATAATCATTGTAGAAATAACACTTATCATTATAAAGAAAATAAACTTTAAAATAAGAATGATTTTTATCTTTAAAATAATAAAATTCTTTCAAAATGCTAAAAAATGTGGAAAATAGGCTCATTTCTTAACAAGACAGGTATGCTGATTTTAATCACATATCAAAAAGATATATGCAAAAACTATAGCTTCATTCTGTCTCTAGCAAAATTGTTCGAATCATTGTCATAGCCCACAGTTCACATTCCGTATATACGTGTACTACATTTAATTTTGGTATATGGTAAATAGCCTAGGTTACCGAGGATGTGTTAGTATGTGCACCTATCATAGGATGTGTTAGTATGTGCACCTATCATAGGATGTGTTAGTATGTGCACCTATCATAATATACTAGTATAGCTTACTTGAGCTTTTTATGTCTTTCCTTATCATAACTGTTTTCTGGTAGTTCACATTCAAATGATGCTAGAGACAATGCTGAAATATAAGTAAATATGATTATGAAGTAAGTTAAATAGACTGATATGATATACATGTAGATTCTGAATGCTCAAGATAATACTAAATCTTCATTCAGAATAATTTACAAATCACTTTATTATATGCTTATGCTGTGCTTCCAAAAGATGTCCATTGATGCCACTATTACTTTTAATGATAATCCAAATTTTAAGACCACGACATTATTAAGACCATTTTTTCTTCAGAACCACATGCGGTCTCTACTGTAACATAGACTTTAAATACGGGTATCATAGGGATAAAAATATATTATAAGCTATATTTTGGGTATAGGACTATCGACTATTTAACTATTAATGTCTTCTACTCAGAGAAATATACACAAAATTTAATACTTACTGGTTTCTGAGAATACTGGTGAAGTTAGAATGTAATGAAGGACATCTGTATGTTTTTCAAATGGACACTGTAAAATAAAATATGTAGATCTAAATTCACTAACAAAAAATTGTAAAATGAATACAAATTAAATAACAACATTTTATCTTGCTTCATCAAGCAGGACCACAATGGTAATTTACCCACTATATTTTCATATGTACTTTATCTGAGATCATTCTTAAGTCTTTTCATCTATTTCACTATTTCACATTCCTAAGAAATTCAGCTTTGGACTCATTTTGTAGTTTCAAAGTTTTTTAAAATGTTCTTTAAAGAAATCTTTGATAGTGGACATATTGGACAATGACACTAAAAATCAATATAAAATAAAGTTTTCCTTACCTCAACTTGTTGCCAGGTTACAAAATCTGATATTTGTTTTGCCATCTGCCAAAATTTCTAAAATAATAAAACAGAAAACATTGTACAAAACTTTAAGATAATTGCAATTGATTGTTTAAAAACAAAAAATAATGTTTTTCATCTGGAATTAATATATTCACAAGTGTGTCTAGAAACTACCAAATAATGCACTGTCACAGTTCTAATTCCTTCATTTGCTTATTTACAAAAAACATTCTCTTTACTGAACTCAAAACTTACGGCATGTATAACAGTATGTGTGTGTAACTTTATGCTAAAAATTATATTAAAATACCTCAAAGTTGATATTGCCATTTTCAGATCTGTTGGGGCAGCCCTCATTCAGGAAGTATATATCCTTCACAAATAAACTGAAGAATGGTATCACAATCTGAAAACAATAGATCAAGTTGAAATTAAAGTTCTCCACAGCAAGTTTAAGATTAAAACAAAAATAGTCACCATGCCTTTATGTGCCGTCATTTAAAAATTAAAAAGAATAATAAAATTTTCTACAAATCAGTAGAATGTGGGATAAATATAAATTATACTCCAATAAAAATTAAATTTCTGCTACCTAAAACGAAATCGATGATATTACACCAACAAACAGTTGAAGGAGTACCCAAAATTATTCAATACTTAAGTTCAAAATTAACAACAAGCAATTTATGCCTACCCAAGAAATAACAATTATGTGCTCACTGACTCGAGCTAACATTTGGAAAAGCCAGAAGACTGATGATGAATAATATATCTTTTTTCACTAGATTCTATAAAAGTGTCAATACCATAATATCACATCAAATCACTTTCAATAAAAACATAAAACCAAATCAAATCACTATCAAAAAATACTTTATTTCTCATACCTTTTCCCTGCTATCACTGGCACCTTGTGCCCGCCACATTGCTGCCTTCAGACATGATCTGTAACTACCAAAGTTATTTGATGGATCCATCTGTAATTCAATAATTCCAAACTTGGCTTTGTTCACCTTCGCCCACTGAAAAGGAAATATAAATGCATGTACATTGTATGTCTAAGAACTAGGGTGATTTGGATTTTAGAGTAGCTAAAAACAATATTGTGAAATATCTAAGCCATCATAGTATTTACTATCATTTGACCAACGTATACTGATATATTTTTTATATAAGACTAATCAAAATATATGTTCATATTTTTGTGCTCTGATCTAGTAAAATATGCTTTCCCATATTATCTTAATTACTTTCAACTTATTTTATTTTACTTTTGGTTAGAAATGTAGGTATACAGGATTATAATCCTTTTTTTTTCTTCAATTTTTGGTTCAGTCACAATGGTATTGTAATGGTCATTTGAAATCTTTCCAGCTTTTCTTGTGGAAGAGGACCTCAGCTGCCCCACATGCATTATTTCATGCACAAATGGGCATCTAAGTAAAAACAATGTCATTAAGTAAGGTTGTTGGATGGCTTCTTATGCATCCATGGCAAAAATATAGAATTTTTTCATAATATGAACTGTTTGGGTTTTTTCTTTGTCACAAAATGAAGCAAACAAAACTTACTGTCTTTTTTAATCTTGCAACAGGATTCATATTCATCCCAGCAATAATTGCCATTAATGAGTTGAAATTTCCGATGTTTATACATTCTTTGGCTACATCTATAAAATACTCCACTAGTTTAACCCGATTTTTCTTCTTTAAATGCTGTAAAAGACAAGTAATTAAAAAATAAATTCTTGAGTACAATATATATTGCAGGTTCATCATTCTTTTTAAAGGATTCTTATTTTTATAATTCAGTAAAATATACTTTATCATCATGAGACCAATGCTTAAAGGAAACCAATAAATTCTTTACCAATCCAGACAAGTATGGTTATTACTCTGATAATTAAATATTTTGATCTTAAAAATGCATTATCTGTCCAAAAGTCAGCTAAAATATCTCTATATCATACATTTTGAATATGATTTTATTAGGTAATCAGAAAATATACAATAAAACTAATTTGAATATCAAACACACTCTAGTGCTTAAAAAAGAATAAAACATTCAGTTGCCAATGTCACGATATTACTATAAGTTAACATTTGTTAAGCTATAGATCTATGGTATATACATACTGAGCAAATTTCTGAGGCAACAAGGTAACTGAGCCGGTTAAACCACTGTACATACGCCTCCAGATTCCGCGTGTTTTTCATATCTCTAAACACTGGAGGTTGTGATGACACTTCTTCTTTGGAGAAAGCTTGTACAAACTCTTCTGGTCCGATCTGACTTAATCGTTCCTGAACAATAGATTACATGATGTTATAATTAATGTCTATAATGTATTGTGTGACATCTTTTGTACATAAAATATTTTTATTTTTTTTCTACATTTTCAGTTATGTTGACTTTTTTTTTAAATAACAAAATGAATAACACCTAATGATTTTCATTCTAGTGTAAATAATTTCAAAGTTATTTGATGCCTGATACAATTGTTACATTTGATAAACATGATATAATTAACACAACAAGCTATACAACAAGAGCTGTCCGTAAGACAGCGCGCTCGACTTTTTTATTGCTTGCCAATAAAAAAAGTTTTTGCAGTAAAAGGCAATACAAGAATCTCTGTATTTTTAAAGTGAACAATGGCCATGAGCATTAAGATATTTAGTGAAGAATTATTTTACTGAATTGTGTGATACCCTTGAACACTGCAGCAAAGTTTGAAATGTTTAAGTCAAAACATTGACAGTTAAGGGCCATAATTCAAATAAAATCTTTGACAGAATTACCTTCTCCTGGACATGTTTGGGAATCATGATTGTAAACAAGTATTCCAACTTTCAAATTAATATCTCAAACAGTTCAGTCAAAAAGTGGACTGGTACTAAAAACTTAACCAAGATTCTAAGTCGATAAAAGGCCTTAATTTTTAAAACAAATCCTTGACAGAGTTACCTTCTCTTGCGTACAGATGGGGGTAATGATGTGAAATAGCATTAAAAGTTTCAAAGCAATATCTCAAAGGGTTAAGGCAATAAGTGGATTTTACCCATATTCAATGTATTTTCTAAGTCAAAAGGGGCATAATTCTGTCAAAAACCTTGACAGAGTTATGTCCTCTTGTCTGTTGATGAAGGTCGTGATGGTAAACAAGTATGGTCAGTTTCAAAGCAATACCTCCAATGGTTTTGAAATAAAGTGAGGTGGTACAAAAAACTTAACCAAGCTCAATACACTTTCTAAGTCAAAAAAGGGCCATAATTCTGTCAAAAACCTTGACAGAGTTATGTACTCTTGTCTGTAGATGGAGGTTATGATGGTGAACAAGTATGGTAAGTTTCAAAGCCATACTTGTAATACTTCTGAAATAAAGTGGGGTGGTACGAAAAACTTAACCAAGGTGTGACGCCGACGCCGACGCCGACGCCGGGGCGAGTAGGATAGCTCCCCTTTTCATAGAAAAGTCGAGCTAAAAACAGTTGAAAAGTTACAAGTCATACAGTTTTAATTTATTTGCATATCATTTTCATTTCATAAGAAACATAATCTGTCTTTAAAAGATCTATTTAAGAATTTCATGTAAATAAACTTGATAGTTTATGTTCTAGGACAACCATGCATATACATTTGTTTAATGCATCAAGATAAGGGTCAAAGTCTATTATCTTTCAAAAAAATTAACTTGTGTCAAATACAAATGTCACTTTTCACTATAGAATATGGCCAGCCCTGTCTGCATATCTATAAAGTTTTGACACTTTATAATTTTGGCTGCAAATTTTTATATTTTCACATTTAAACAACTATTGTATCACTATTATCAGATGGACTGTTATAAATTTAAAGAAGAGCACGTTCATTTCTGCACAAATACAGTAGGAATCTCTACATGCTAAGTATCACATGTTTTATTTGTTGTTGAAAATTTCTCTGTATCACAATTTTTTTTAATTCTAAATCAACAGTGCTATGCAATCCTTATCAGTCATGTTTTAAAGGTATAGAAAGTTCCAACAAATATGATAAGCATGATTGTGTCCAGTATTAATCTTGAATAATCTTTATATTTGGCTAATCATTCCCTTTAGTTGCCAAGCCGTATTAAATCCTAACAAAAAATCAAAATCTGTTTTGATATGGATAGTGGTACTGCCAACATTTATTGGGGTCTTTAAGATAAGGTTTTAAGACTTAAGCACTCAGTTTTCAGTTTTGATAATGCTTTTTATAACATCAAGCTTATTGAGACATCCATAGCTGATTATAAGTATAGTTTTTTCATTCAAAAATAGTTTCCTATCTAATCCAGCAGGTAAAATTGGTGAACATGATGGCTTTAGTTGACAAAACAGATGCCATAACTACTAGACTAATACCAGCAGATATCTGGTAAAGTGTTAGCATAGGGGCTAGGAGCTACGACTTACCAGTTCTATGTGAGTGAGTTGTTGTGCTAGCCTGAGTGGACTAGGGCACACCTCGAGGATATCGGTGGTGGGCGCAATCTGGGTCTGTGACCGTTTCATAGCCTCATCATTCAGTTTGGACAGCACATCCTCATAACGGTTTAACTGTGCCAACTGTAACAAAAATAAAATACACATAAAATATATAACTTTACTACAAATTTCAGATTTTCATCAATGAGCAAAATGAACAAATAACTTACAAAGCTATCTGTTATTTTAGAACAATTTTTTCTTAAAATATAAGGCTTCTGTTCTAGTAGGAAAATCAATTACTAATCCTTCAACACAGGAAAACATAAAAAACAAAGTGTGTCAGGGAGAAGATTTAGGCTTTTAACAATAACAGGCCGCAAAAAGTTGTGTAATTACATTTCCATCTGACAAATACATCAATTATGTGTTACAAACGAGATCTCATTTCACAAACAGTGGTACATCCTCCTTATATCTGCTAGAATGTCATGCATTATTGAATACCTGATAACTGGAAGCATGTGTGTGCCGCCTTAAAAATCAAATTTCAAGAAAACAGCCGTATATTTCATGCATGAAAAAAAAACTATGTGATTTATGATCAGCATAATAAAGGCCACTTTGAGCTTAGTTTAATGTACAACAATCGCAATACAATAGACAAATACAAACAGAAAATAAAAATTTCAACAAAACAAAAAAATTCTTATAAGTAAGTAATTACAAATCAGTAAAATACAGGGAACAATCTGATACAAATATTGCGCACTGACTACCTGTAAACACTGACTTATTATCATGATCATTTTTATGTGCATGTTTTCAGGTGATGAATAGGCCAATATCTGAAAACTAATGTCTGCAGCATTGGTGATACACCTTAGAGATGATGTCAATTTTACAGTTCCTTATGGTGCCCATTACCCGATGGTCTACCTTAATCAGCTGAACTATTATCAAATTTCAGATTTTCGTCAATGATCGAAATGAACAAATAACTTAGGGAACTGTCTGTTATTTTAGAACAATTTTTTTCTTAAAATATAAGGCTTCTGTTCTAGTAGGAAAATCAATTACTAATCCTTCAACACAGGATAACATAAAAAACAAAGTGTGTCAGGGAGAAGATTTAGGCTTTTAACAATAACAGGCCGCAAAAAGTTGTGTAATTACATTTCCATCTGACAAATACATCAATTATGTGTTACAAACGAGATCTCATTTCACAAACAGTGGCGCATCCTCCTTATATCCGCTAGAAAGTCATGCATTATTGAATACCTGATAACTGGAAGCATGTGTGTGCCGCCTTAAAAATCAAATTTCAAGAAAACAGCCGTATATTTCATGCATGAAAAAAAAACTGTGATTTATGATCAGCATAATAAAGGCCACTTTAAGCTTAGTTTAAAGTACAACAATTGCAATACAATAGACAAATACAAACAGAAAATAAAAATTCAACAAAAAAAAAATTCTCATAAGTAAGTAATTACAAATCAGTAAAATACAGGGAACAATCTGATACAAATATTGCGTACTGACTACCTGTAAACACTGACTTATTATCATGATCATTTTTATGTGCATGTTTTCAGTTGATGAATAGGCCAATATCTGAAAACTAATGTCTGCAGCATTGGTGATACACCTTAGAGATGATGTTTAGAGATGTGCATCATGCCAATTATCTTAAGATTTCATAAAAACATGCAACAAAACAAACAGCAGGAAATATCTGCCACTCTATAAATTCTCTGAGAGGATATAAACTTGCTAATGCCACCAGTCTAGAGCAAGATCAGCCTGCACATCCATGCTGTGCTTAGTGCAAGGCTATCAGCTTATATTATGCTTTATTTTAGCAAATGCCTTAATGACATATTATGCCTCGGAAATGAATATTTTTTTCTTCAGAAGAAGAAGCAAACATGTGTTTAATAAGGCTTTAAAACAGAATTTAAAGCATGTTAGATGCTTAAAACTGGTAGAAAGTAGTACTGAATATTAAATAATTTGTAATATAGGAAGCAAAATGTAAATAAAATGGTGTTTTTCCAGTTACATTCAAACTACTAAATCACTTTAACTGTATTAATTGTCAAAGAACAGGAGAAGCAAAAGATGGTCTCGAGTGTTGTGGGCCTTTAAACTATAATTTGACCTAACTAAATTTAAAGCTGGACAAATCCATCACATAAAATTAGTAAGCTTTAACCAAATTGCTCCTGTATATAGTAACATTACGATTAGTAATCTCCTATCTTCATTATACCAAGTTAGTACCTTAGTGGAAGTTACTACCATTGTTCACTTTTCAACATGTCAATTTATAGATGAAATAAAAAACACATCTGTTTTTATAACTGATGTGATTGCTATAAAGAAAAGAAATCTTCCATTAAAAAAAGGTCTAATGGTCTGAAAACTTGATATGGCAAAAATAAATGAGGAGTGAAGAACCTGACATCTGTGTATATAATTAAGATTTTTAACAGGGAACAGGTAGTAATCATTTCCAGTCAGTGACCTCTGGAAGTAAACACATAAAAAATTCTGAATGCCTTATAATTTGACCTCTGTGAACATTTGTGAATACTTCAATGAAAGAAAAGGAAAGCATGCCTGGTATTTTATATTGTATAAATGCATCATGATATTGCAATAGAACTTGGGGGAGAGGAATGTGCACAGGTATTCAATGGCATTTTAGAGATTCATCTTGTTGTTATGATGTTACCACATGCAATTTACTGTTGTTTACTATAGTAGAAAATATTCTATGAATGGTTGGAATGATAATTACATCTTAAACGGCTCAGGATGATTTCTCCAAAAAATAGAATTGAAAAAACAACCCCAATTAAAGATCAATTAGGAAAGTTAATTATTTTTCATTGACACTTATCATAAATCCTTCCAAAAATGATGTAGCACTGACCTTATTTAACAAGTTATGAGTGATAGCACCAATATCATGCCGTAATTCAGGATACACCTTTAAAACTCGTTGTGAAATCTCCTTCAACTGTTTCATCATTCGTTCATCACGGAAATCATATGGAAACATTTCTGTCCATTCACTGTACAATAAAAAAAATGTAAAATTTTAAAATACAAATATTTCAAAAGCATTCTGTTTCAATTTCAACAAATTAAAAGGTAAACTAAATATCAAAGCTGCAAAACTAAAGAATTTAATTGACCATAAAATAAATGGTTTATCTAATGGCTTTTACAGGCTGCCTGATAAATGTACCATTTAGCCAGAACTGCTAATGACTTTCATGGGCAGCACATGTTCCTAAGTTTATATACAGTCCCTAAGTACTGTTTGTTTGACTTTCTGGGGGTTATACTGATTTTAACACAGTTTTTGGTCAATCCAGCTAACAGGCTTTCCTAGAACCCCCAACTAAAATTTATTATTTTATGTATTTCTGATATTTTCCCTTTTAACTAAAGCATATCTTCAGAATTTATCTGAAAGTTCCAAAAGAAAAAGCCTAAAACTGTAGCATTTAGCCAACATGTGCACCCATTTAAAGGCATTCAGCAATCGTTTGTCACTAAATACAATAAATACTATTAAAGTCCCCTGTCATTGAAGTAAAAACCTTTGCCTCCTTTAATACTAGGGTTTGAATGATAAAAATGAAAAAGTCGGCACATTCTGACAGTCTGTGAAAAAGCAGTGTGTGATCTTTCCAAATAAGGATCACAGCTGATTTATGGTGTGCCATACTTCAATAACAGTGTCTGGAAACAAGTAACTGTTCTCTACAATAAGCTGTCTATCTTTATTCAATAAAATATAAGATTTAGTTATTTACAATACTTTCCAAATATACTCGGTGTATGAGATTTTTGTCTTTGATGAAATATTTTGCCAAGTCCAAAGAGAAAATCAATTTCCAAATTGAATGATCCCATCATGTCCCCCTGTTGTTTGCATCTTCCTCGTTGTGTACTTTTGGACTATCTTACTTCTTTACATTGAAATGTATACTTAATTAAAACGATTTTTTCCCCAAACAAATATCTAGGACAAGTTTCTGTGAGCTAACAATTGGTTATCAGTTTCCGCAAAAATCTTGTTTATTTATTTTTTTTTTTTTAAATATAAAATGTTATAGGTTACCTGAGCAACTGTATAATATTTTGACCAAACTTGCCAAGTTTGTGTTTCTGTATATTATCACTGGTGAGATTCTGCTGGAATGAGCACACCTGTAAGAAGACATGACATTTCATCACTCATTACCTTCATGCAATATACCAGTATTAATCTTTCTACTGCCAGCAAGGTAATGACTTATCCAGGAGTGCCAGCAGTATAGAGCCATGTAGGTCTGCATGGATAGCCTGTATGTTCTTACAGTCTGACCTGGTTCTATACTGCAGGCTGCTTAACTTTAATATTTTGATACTGAAATCCCAACTACTAAAGAACTGTATCAAATTTAAAGAGGAAACAAGCCAAGTAAAACATAAGGGCCATCTTTGCTAAATTATTAGAAGCAGTACCTAAATTAGCTATCATAACATGTTCAAAACAGAAAAGTATAAGGAAAATTAATTGCATGAAAATTAAGGGGTTTATTTCAAAGAAGTAGGAGGGTAATGATTAATTTGGTGCAGGATGAATTGCATTAATGTTTTGTTCACACACAAGATTCAATGGGTGTTTTTCTCTATGCTTGCAACCACAGACACAGATCATTTAACTTAGTAGAAAACAAGCCTTTAAAAGAACAAACTCTTTCAGCTTATTCAACAGAAGAACAAGTAAGACCAAGATGAACACAAGAACTTTGTATAATATATGCTTAACAAACATTTTAATAACTAAACAAATATATTCATATGAGTGGATAACACACACCTGTTTCATTTCTACAGCTTTATTGCTACTGTTACACCTGTTTAATTTAATTGCAATATGCTAATAAAATATAATTTTATGCAAAGACATGCATCATTTCCCCATTTTACTAGGACAGTAGTTGGATGGAAAATTGCAAGGTTACAATACAACCTTCAATGTAAGCACTATACTTAATCATGGTATATCAACATGGTATAATAATATGTATGAGTGAAAGCTCATTTATATCTTTCATAAACGTAATTACATCTCATAACAACAGACAATGTCACAATCTTTATGTTAAAACATACCTGGCACACCTCTGACAGGAGTTCATGGGGACGTATAAATAGACGGGAACTTAACAAGAATGTGAACACATAAGTCCTCTGAAAAATATAAAGAAAAGAGTCAGTAAAAAAATAACTGAAAATTTCCTATGAAATACGCATAGAAAAAAGCATATAATTTAATAACTCCTCTTATGCAAGAAAAGAGATTGTCTTTTTGTTTTTAAGGCTGATTTCAACGTCAAATCTTGTCATATCTCGGCAGGCAGTTTACCTAACAAGCTTTCCTGGATAACTAACCAGTAATTACCAACTTCCCCCACAAGTGACTGTCTAATCAGCAGTGAGAGACAAATGATTATTATAATCACTGTCCAGGATCCATAGTCAGAAAACTGAAAATTTCAACACACAAACATTTTTATTGTCTTTTTTTTTATTGTCTTTTTTTTTTTTTTTAAATCATATTGAAAACTTAAAAGATAAAACATAAATCATTTCAAAATTCAAGAAACTTATCAGTTATCAAGTGCATTTAGTAAACAACTCATCACTTTGATCCACCCTTGTAAATAAAACCAGATTTCTGGGAAATCTCTTCATGTAATCAGGGAAAACAATAAAATTTCTCACTTATATTATGTTGGGTGTATGAAATGTACAGATAAACATTTTGTTTTTTTTTCCTGAAAAAAGTTCCCATTATTGTCTCTGAAATATTTCTTTGATAGCTAAAGCAACATGATATCAAAGGCGATGTAGAAAATACACTTGTAAGTGATTTTGTGATAAATTTTAATGCTTCTGTAAGGACATTCTGCATAATCAAAGAAAAAGTTACTCTTTGAAGTTTCTTGATTTTTCAATAACAGGTGTGTGCACAGACAGTGTTATTCTGTATAGACAGTAATAATGTCACTAAAAACTATTATCTCCACTTGGCTGACAAAGACTTAAAACTCCATGTCACCATTAGGTAATATGTGCTTTGTGATTAAAATGCTAAAGGATTTTTTTTAATCATTCTACCACTGCTGATAAATAAATGCTAAGTCAAATAAAGTTTCACGCATTTAATAGCTGATTTAATAAACCGAGCAGGAAACATAATTATAGCATGACTAAATGGCTAGATTACCATTCGCAGCATTTATATCATTAATAACAACATAATTTGAAAAACATAACAACAGCTACTTCCATATTTGGAATGGTATTAAGTATGACTAATTAAATGGCTGACAGTAATGTAGACTTACATCTGGGTTATATTCTTTGGTGGGAACCAGGTGTTGAATAAGAGCCTCAGTGGAACCAGCCACTAGATTCCCATCTTTAAATGTCAATGCCTGAAATAAAAATAAAAATACCACTATTTTCAACTATTTTACCTTTAAACTGTGCTGTAGTTTTATATTTCAATTGTCCTACTTTAAATTTGTACCAGTTAATTGTTAATGATAGAGATTTTACTGGGAAGACTGCATGAATTGCAGGCTGTCACTGTTTAAATATATTTTTATCAGAAGCTTTCTTGAAGTTTTTTAAAGCCTTCAAAGGGGTCAAATACATACAATAATTTGCTGATTACAGAAAAAATAATGGAACAACTTCTGAAACCATTATATACTACTTTCACCTTAATGGTAAGCAAGTGCCTGAGAATTGTAATTATTTTCCTAATCTTAAAAAGATATCTATCTCTGACTTTTGACATTGAGAACTTGAAACAATAAATGTCATGAATGTGCAATGTAACATTCTATGGGAGTTAAAATATTTACTACAGACATAATTCAGACAAGCAAAAAAAGATTTACACTGTATTAAATGACCTAAAAACAACAATAGAAGACCGCTTAACTTTTATTCACTTTGATTCACACAAACGATTGTTACAGAAAATAATATCTAAGAAAAAACAGAATTAAGCTTAATTTGAGGACACAGTTCTTACACCATGGAAGAGTATAATAGATTCATGATACTGACAATATTATATATAAGACATCAACAGCCAATGTTAGTATCAACATCATCTGCAACATGAAATTCTCTTCACAATTTCTTATTGAATCAATACAGCAAAATAATTTAGCTTATAAAATTTGGTCACCAAGGAAACATAAGGTCTTAAATGTCTATATCAGCTTACAATATCAATGAAATATATTTTTTCTGATATAAAGACAAAATGTTTTCAGACAGCTGAACTTATAATGCAATTTTCTCCTCAAATTTAAGAAATGCAATTGTTGCCCCTGCCCTTTATCTCTCCTACCCAACATTTCCTACCCATACTACGTCCCTAAGTACCTGCCCCAGACTGGAATTCATCAGACAGAGCTTAATATGTACTAAGAAATGCTTGTAGCCCTGGCACCCTTATCTGTCCAACCCCCCAATTCCCCTAACCCCCAACTGGTCCAACACTTTACTTACTACCTGCCTCCTATATTACAATGACCAGGTACATATATGCCAACACCTATTACAGATTACTGTCTTACACTATTAACCCTATAGAAAGTTCTTTTAAGTCTGTTTTACATGATTTCTGGTACATTTTTTCCAGATGTACGAAGGCAGAAAAACAGTAGTGAGGTCATATTCTTTCCAGAATGCCTCACTAAATAAACAAAGCTTCCTGTATATAACAATTAACTTATGTAGATCTCACTACACCCTGTACACACCTATCCCTTTAAACTTTTCATTTCTTTGAAATAACATAATGGTAATTAAATTACAGTGAAAACTTTCACTTAATAAATAAACATTACAGTATAATCAGATAACATGGTAGAAATCTATTTTGAAATAATGTTCTCTTGATAAGAAGAACTTGTAAATGCCTTTCTTGAGAAGTTTCTCATGTTCTAAGAAAATAAGATTATATTTTTTCTCATAAATCTGTTATTCAGATCATCATATCTATCTAATGCACTGTTTTTCAACAATAATTATTCTTATGCAAGTGAAAATATTCATTTTTGAGATAAATAATACAGTAAATATTTTAAACATGTAAAAAATTGTAAAACAAAATCATCAGCCATCTCACACCCACCCTAAGTCAACACTATATGTGCCTCTTATATTTAAAACATAATTTGATCAAGTCCTTTTCAAATCCTAGCTAGTGCATTGTGATATGTGTCTATTTACATTAGTACATTATTTCTAAAAAAACAACCCTAAATGACCTTGAAACCCTAACGACCTTAACCTGAATGTAAAGGCTGCATCAAAGTTAGCAAGAAAGGCCCGGGACTCATATGAACTAAACAGACAGTGACAATGAAACATACAATCAAAAGTTTCAGTGAGCTAACAAAAAAAAAAACAATCACGAGAAAAGAAATTAACAAAAACATAATATGGCACTAGAATGTGGCCGGTTAATTGGTGTGTTCAACAACAACAACAGGAAACTGAAAGAGCAATTAATGATGGAAACATTGATCAGATTACGGATGTCAGCCCTTGTAACAACTTCATAACAGGCTCAAAACTGCCACATTCCCACTTTCTATCAATGTAAACAATTGATTCTAATAAGTTTCACTTGAAAACAATATTATTCCTCTAATTATATAACTTAGAGAACTGTTAAATTAGTGAACAATTCATGCAATTTAACCAATTGCAAAAGGTCAAATCCTTAACATTAACCTTTTTAAACTGCTTGTGTATGCATAATATATTAGAGACATTTTTCATCTACACCAAGTTTAACTGTTCTAATCTTAGATGAGATACTTCCTCATCTTAAACTTAAAAAGGGCTATTTTCCAGGAATTAAGACCAACATATTACACTTGTTTGAACGACATTGGAATTTTTTTTGACAGGTTATGAATTTTAACCATTGCAAAATAAAGAAAACTCTGCAAAATGGGTCAAACTAATCACACCAAATAAACAAGGCTACCAAATAAATTCTTATACTACATAATACAAAAAACTGTAACAATGTATAAAGGTTTCCTGAACAAATTATGCTTGGTTTACAAACATTAGCTTTATCACCTGCAATCTTGGACAAAAAACAACATAAAACGACACTACAAGCAGTGGAAAATTTCAACATCACGTCATGAATGCATAATTTTATTTATGTTGATGTTTACACCATGAATGAATGCTCCAATGTCAGTGGTTGAAAACAATATAATTATGTCGTTAAAAGTCTAAATTTGATACAAAAATTTGGACAGAGTTATCTAATTTCTAAACAGATATTATATAATACCTTTTAGGCAAATGTAGGAAGTTATCTAGCCCCATACCCATCTTAATGACAATAAAAGGGTCACACAGAGAGTAAATCCAAGCATTTAAACTGTAAACAAATGAAAAATAAATAAAAAATGCCCTGACCTCATATTGAAATGATTTGTGGGAATTCATTTAATTTCCATGCATGCATTGTTATACTATATCTATCATAAAGAAATATTAATAGCAAATCTATTACTCATCTTAACAACAAGTGCAATAATTACTTTTACAATATATATTTAACTTACATCATTTTCATTACAGTTTGTACTCTGGCAGTCATACCCTCCACCAGCCTTGTCAAACATCGCCGACAAACTTTGCATCTGTGGCACAACGTTCTTCTGAAAATACAAGATTTGTGAAATGGTCAAATATCATTATAACTGAAATTTTATATTAATTTGGTCAAATTAATTTACATAGGACAGCATAAAAGTTATAACTGTTGGATACATGCCCTGATTGGGAATATACTGATACTTCATGACGATGGGCATATCTGATAAAGATAATCTCATAACTTTCCTATACCAGTATTCAAATTTATCAGTTAAAAAAGACCCAAGTATAAAATAAAAATCAGTAGCCCCAACAAATTTGCCAATACCTTTACTAACAGCCTCATGATAATTCCAATCAAAATTATGAAAAACAAATTGACAAACTGTTTATTTTCAAAACAAATAACAAATCGGCATTAGTTCTGCCTATTTATTAAAAATGTTCAATGATAAACACTTAATGGTTCTGTTGCCGGATTGGTCACTTCAGTAATCTACTAAAATTCCCAGTGATTGATTGGTTGCCCATGATTTTTAAGTATCATAAACCACTAATTGGTGCCAAACATGTCAGCTACTTGTGCAGCAACTTACACAAGATCCTGACAAATTTGTTGTGGTATCAGTTACAGTTTTATCATAGAAAAGAACAGAGTGCTAAATGCTTAATCTGTTAGAAGATCTGCCATTTAAAATTACACATTAACAAATAAACTAGTTGATTATAAGTTCTGAGACTGTAGAAGAAATGAATTCCCATTCCCTCAATTAATGTTTACATTTTCTTGCTGTGCTTGATTTTCTGATAAATGACAATTAAACTAAATTGACTTCTGTGAGAAACAAACCTAATCAATCAAAATAAACAAATAAAATAAAGTTGTCAGTTCTGAGAATATTAGGATAATCTCCCATTAACTATATAATTAATGTTTATTATTTCTTGCTGTTCCATCTATAATAACTTTCAAACTACATTATGCTTAGTATCATCTTTGCTTCAGATATAGTTTTCAATTAAAATAGCAATATTCCATAAAATCTCTTGAAGAAGGAAAAACAATAGCTGCCATTCAGGCGGCATGCTTTACTATTCTTAATGGTTGAAAGTAAAACATCAGCCCGGATAATGGACAAAATCACTTAAGGGAATATGTTATTCAAAATCCAGGATATAGAGTCTATAACTAAAGCTATTAGAAGACTTTCCTACCTAATGGAACCCAATTATTGAAATGCATTGAAAACATGGACACTTCAAACCATTTGTGCAGCTGACAAGATTTTTGACACTTTCACAAAGTTTTGAAAAGGATATCTGACATACCATATTCTTTTAAAATTAAATTAATATTCACATTGCTATTTTCATGCCGAAATAATTTACAAAATTTCGAAGATCCAAGAAAGGACAGCACAACAAGCATGATCCTATAATCTCCCTCCACATGACAGCATTATAATACTCACCATTGAGCTTTGTATTAAAAAAAATAAAAAATAGTCCCTTTGTTCAACTTTTGTCAGTGCTTTTTGAATATAAATGCAAAAATATTTTCTTAAAAAATCAAATTTTCAATGTATGATTTCTTCTTTATAATGAAATAAATATTAAATTAATTTAGGAATAACGTTACTTCTGAAACTAGTTATTTCACTGATCGAGCTATCTCAGTGATGTTTTATTTTATAAAGTAAAAAAAGGGGAATTTTCAGATATTTTTAGCAACTGTTTCTGAAAATGCTGTCACGAAACTGTATAGACTTTTCCCTTTACTTAGAAGTGGAGTGACGTAAAAACGATTAGAGCAAAAAAAGAAATTGAGAGCAGTTTCAGGAAATAGAGACATTCAATTTAAAGGACAGCACTTGATGTGAAGATGATTTGTCATCTAGATAAAATACAAATGAGTGGATAAATTATATAATATCTTATCATGAATCATGTAATAAAAAACCCACTTCATCTAAAAGTCTATTTTTAAAGTACACATACTTTTTTTATTTCGGTACCGAAACTCGAAACTGGCAATACATAGCATTTTTTTATCAAATGAAAAAAAATGATGATGAATCAAGGTCTGGTAACAATTTACATGTATATAATATAAATAGGAAAGCAGGATGTTGTTGTAAACAACATAAACATAAATATGCCAGGTTTTAATAGCCGGGTAATGGTTTAAAAAAATATCCTGGTTCTAAAGTATTACACAAACAAAAAATAACAATCACCTTTATTGGCGAAGAAGGGGTTAATGGTAATTCACTCAGGCAAAAGACATTTTAGAGAAATTAATGCAAATCATGTTTTTTCTAACATAAGCTAATTTCATGTAATCAGTTGTTTTGTTGTTTTTTTAAGTTTTTAAAAAAAATTTTAACAAATAATTTGAAATAATGAAATCAACAAATAATGGGTTAGAATGAACTTTATGAGAAAATCTGTTTGCAATTTAGATTCTGTAAGATTTTTCAGATTTCCTAAGAAATATGAGTAAAGAAAAAAGAATCTTTTAAATAAAGTTATTATCTTATCATGTGATCAATTTCAAATCATCTCTGAACAATCATTTTGTTAATAAAGAATCATGTTTAGCCATACATCTACATTGTTATTAAAATCCTTAAAATCAACAATGGACAAGATGCCAGATGCCAATGGGGGTGATGGGGGAGGAGGTGGTGTATATATATTAATATACAAATTAGTTTGATCAGTAATTAGTTCTGATTTATTGAGAGATAGGGGCTAATAGGAAATCTGCGGTATGTCCGGAATGTTTATTTACAAGTGTCAGAACATCATGCCACCATGTCAGATTCTGTACACTTAGCATGATGTTGCCTGCCACACCGGACATAAATATATACACATGAATGTCCTGTAAACAATGTTTTTGCAAATTCTTAAAACTACTGTAGGTACTTTAATACTAATAGTGAGGTAATGAGATCCTGGTATATGTTACAAATATAACAGTGAAAAGGGCTGTCAAAATAACAGCTAGTTGTTGAAGTGTCTGTGGTTACTATATTTCTATTTCTATACCGCAAACACTCTAAGTGTTTATTTAAACCTCCCACACTTATACTATTAAAAAATCAAAACATTTCATTATGTAAGTACTTTTGGTTCTGCTGGTGGCGGGGGGGGGGGGGGGGGAGAGAGGAGAAAGCAGGGCATGTTGGGTTGATGTTTGTTTCATCAGTAATGCTGGTATTAAGTCAGAATTCATTAAAATCAGCATGTTGACTATTAGAATCCACCCAATTCCATTTCCAAATTTCTTCAGACATTTAAAATTACCCTTCAATATGAAAGCTCCAGCTGTCTAATTTGGTCTTATAGTTAAATAGAGTGGAGAAAACATGAACAAACTATTGGACATCAAAAGATCCTAAAACTCATTATGATGGGGCTTAAAAACTACCAGATTAGCAGAAATATTTAGAAAATTATCTAGACAAGAACTCTCTAGAGAAAAATAAGCCGTTTATTTTGGCATCTTTCTTGTCTGTTGTTTCCTACAGTATTCAATGTGTTTCCATTTCAAGATATAGCCTTCCTAAAATGGTAATTAAGCTACCATAATATTCCAAATTCTTGCTCCTAATTTATCTACTCGATAGAAAAAAAAGGGTTTTTAATTTGGGACATGCATCAAAATGTGCTTTATTCAACAGTTAAATATAGATATTAAAATGTGAACACGTGGTTAAGTTGTCTGCTTCCCTGTCAAGGCATGGAAGGATTCTAGCCATACTGAGCTCATGACCATGCTTCCTCATGTGACATCACAATCGCAGCACTCAATTCAAGGAAGTAAACACAACAAAAATTTAATTAAGCTCCATCATTCTACAATTAATATGTTTAAAGAAACAATTAAAATATTTTAATTGCACAATCTGTGGGTTCACTTTGACACACCGTGTTACCAAAAGTAAAATCTTCATATTTAATATGGCAACTTCTGTTTTCCTTGTTTGTTTTTTTTTGCTTACAGTAGTGACCGTCATTTGTCAACCTCTTAACCAATCAAATTTTTCTTGAAAGAAAACTAAATAATGGAACAGTGTTAACCATAATAATCATGAGTTATCTTAAATGAAGTACCTTTTTTTCAATTATGATAAAATGATAAATAATGCATGAGCTGATCGAAGTTTAATTAAATCATTCTAAAGTGATCATTTATGAAATGTTAATATTTATTATTGAACTACATAATATATTATAATGCAGAACTTTATCTGGTTTAATAAAAAGAACTTTGGCACTAACTTTAGTTAAATATTAATTGCGTCTATTGTATTTCCTAATTGAATTGTGACATAATTATGCATGACTGTGAGCAATTATACTACTTGAACATGTCCATACAAATACTAAATTGTCTTTTAAAACACCAATGTTTCCTTTATTTTAATATTTCCTCAAAATGACAGCAATAATTGGACTTGTGCCATTTCCAATGAGATTGTTCTAAAATCTGACATTTTAATTACAGAATATAAAAATTTAAACATATTAATATCTATATAACTTAATACATGTTTCTATATTTAAAAAAGCAAACAAAAAAAACAACATCAAAATAATCATAATGTTGGTTACCATGGCAATGTTCTTTAAAATAAAATTGTTAGGTATTTACCTTTATCAGACATCTAATGCTCCATAAAGTTCAAAACACAGGCCAGTGATGTTAAAACATAACATTAAACTTGGAATGTCTATGATGCACAAAATGTAAATGCCTATTTTATAGACTATATATTTTATATGTGAATGAAAAATCCAGGAAAAAAAATATATACAACAACAGATTAGCAGCTGTTGCTTATTTTCTACTTGTACAATAAATTTCATATAGACATGTATGCAAATCAATTCAACAACATCTGTGCTTGAATCAATATCAACTTTTTCTTTTTCTAATTTTATGTAATTTTCCATGGTATAATTATTTTCATAGAAACTATATACATGTATTGTGTTGAGTATATAAAGACTTTTCAAACAAATTCATGCATAATTATCTTTGAGCACATAATTTTGTCACTAAAAATATACTCAACTGTATTTTTTTATCTAAAGAAAAAGATCATAATTAGACAATTGTCATTGTTATCTTGTCTAATTATGGTAATTAAAATTAATTACCATAATTGTTAATTACTGGAGAGAAATGTCACCTTTTCACATCCTGTGAATGTACATGTACTTCTGATTTTTTTAGTATAGTAAGATTTTTTTTAACTCTTAGCTTTTTATACAGAATTACAACCAGCATTTCATGAGAATTATTATGCAGTTAAATTGCTAATACAATTTCTACATTTAAATTAGCTTATCTTCAAATGTATATAGTGTAATATATGAGAATAAATGGCTGTGTTAAATAAGAAATGCCAAAAAAATAAATATATAATATATACATGAATATGTACTTGTAACTTTGTAACTTGTTTATAGAATTCATGTTTTGTTGTTAACTAGAATTGAAATATCGAGAAACCTAATATTAAGTAAACCATCCAACCTTACCTTCACAGAATTGTTATTATTCAAAGAATCTTTTTCTAAGATCTCCATTTTCTTCGCAAATAATTACGTTCTCCTAGTTCCAAGAATAAAACAAATCACCAACTTGATTCAAACATAAAAAACAACAAGCTAAAAACACTGCTAAAAAATCACTGTTTGCAGTGCCAGTGTTTCACATCAAAACATCCTTAATGCAGCATTGTTGTTTTTTTACTACACTATTTTATTATCCTCATAAAATGTTGTTCCAAAAATGTAAATCTTTACATCACGTCTGCTATTTACTAAGAAGCGGCAATACTATGAATATTTAATAATCCTTCACTGAGTTAAAGCATATAAACATTCACCATAAAGCATTCTTCAGTATAAGAAACATTGAATGTATTTTACGATGGTGTGTGTAAATACACTGCCTCAAGCTTTAACTATATAGCATGGAAGTATTGGAGCTGAACCAATCAAAACAGCATGATATAGAAAACGAACCTGGTAGTAAAGATATGCAAAAAGATATATATCAGATGATATGGAAATTAATGCTTCATCAAACAGGGGTATCGCAAACATGTCATGTGACAGCAGTTAATTTATACCACTGACCTATATTTATTTTATACCTGATAGCAATCATGACTGACATGCAAGATATATCTTTTTATCTGATCTTAATTACAGGCAGCATTTAATGTAGTTGTTTGGATTTAAATAAAAAAATATTTGTGACCTGTTTCTAACATAAACTGACTATTTCTTACCTTTAAATTTTAATTATAGGGAAATGAGATAATGGTATTCTGTATTTGATTTAATAACAGGAATCTTCAAAACTGCCCAGACTAAATCTATAATTCCTCAAGTTAAGTTAATGTTGCTTTCTGTTTCAACAAATGTAATTCAATGATATTTCAGACAAAAATTGATGAAATTCTATATCTTTCAATGTATTATTTTACCCTGCTGTCATTTTTTATCAGGTTTAAAGAAAAAGCACATTCAGAATGACATGCTATTTTAGATTTTAGAAAATATTTAAAAAATGCAAGCAGTAAATAAAAGAGCATAAAAATATTTAATGTAGCATAAAGAACATAGATTATCTAAAATATGTCAAAATATGAAAATATACAATGTAATAGCCTTATTGCTGAGTTAGGTAACTTGGCAATAAAATTGTAAATCCTTTTACACTTCATCTAAAAGTGTTATATGGATTGTAAATCCAGTCATAATTTTTGCTTTAATGTTATATTGATTGTGAATTCATTTTAATTCACTTATTAGAAACTCTTCAAAAAGTTTTATGTTCTTTTTTTTTTAAAACCTTTTTACTGGAGTTTATAATTATCATATCTATTTCTATTATTATTTCTTTTTAGTTTATTTTAATAAGACAGATACCCATATGTAAGATTTATTATCAAGAATAGTATAAATATAAACTAAACTTAGTAAATTGTCGATTAACTTGAGTATAAGAAACAGCAGTTTTTTGTTTTTATTACTCAGATACCCTCCTGTGGACACAGATGCCCCTCCTCCCCCTTTTCCACTGTTTTATGGACAGCATGTCTGGGTGAAATGCTTCCAATAAAAGGACAAAAGTTATGCAGACTGCAGGGACATGCACAATAATATCTTAGCTTCTTAATGATGGAATTGGCTAGTAAATCTCTTACGGCCAATTAGCATTCAAAGGGTCAAAGTATTTCTGTCCATTATATTTCAATTAAGTGTCTCTTGAGGCAACTTTTAATCTAATTATTTGATGTACAGACCTTTAAACCACTTATTGTTCCTTTGAAATTTTGGTGCACACTAGAAACACTCACAATTGTATAAAACAACACTACATGCAGCTTCTTCAAAATGTGGAATGGGCAATTTTATACTTATTTACAAAGACTATACATGTATATGATGTATAGAAAGTAGAACAAGGCTGACAGTTTTGTAATATTTGCAAGCTCAGGACTTCATTTGCATGATAAATGATTCAAGATAGCTGTGTCACTACAAACTGTACACACATTTGCTAATTTATACATTTACCATAGTCAAATACATTTACTGTAGTCAAGGTCCACCATCATTTTAGCAATTTACATTTATTATATTGTTCTATACCATAAATGGGAGCTGCCAAGAAGTGGCCTAATTAGCTTATGATGTCTACCTCAATACTAAAGGATGTGACTCAGGTTCAAGCCCTGCTAACGATACGTTGCAACCATGTTTGCTCCTAGCACTAGTGCTGGTTACTGTTAAGGAGCTATCGGAGACTATAGAATCACCAATGGCTCAAATAAGATACATGCTTTCTTAAATGAATAACTTTATGTTTAAACTGAACTGAATTATAATGGGATGTTAATTAAAGTTACATGAAATGTAGTACCTAAATGCTATGTGTACTGTACAGTTTTGCACAAATCTTGAGAAATATCTATGTGGTTAAATAATTCATGACCAATGCAAAAGCTTGATTATAATTAGAAACGACATTATATGTTAGAGTTATGAATACATAAACTGTTCCAGATACAATTCAGTTTTCACTGGAGTGTTATTTTTCTTAGTAGTAAATTTAATGATACAAAAATCTGTTTTTAATGATACAAAAATATGTATATCCTGAACAGTTAAATAAATTTAGGATATTTATAGCAACCATAGTGCAAAAATATATTATAATACTAAGTACAGCCTTTATGTGACACAATATTATCTATTGTATAAAATATTGCTATCAAAATATATGATTTGTTTAATGAAAAATGCAAATTTAGAACAGTTTACAATATAATCATGCCTATATACATATTTGAATAATAGTAACCTCTCTCTGTCAAAACAAAATATTCAGTTAGCCATTAAAATTATCATTTATATATAACAATTCATTTTTATCTATTCAATTTTGTTAACAAATGAGATTGCAACTTGATGAATGATGAACAAAAGCTCTCCCATCTTAAAAATTTAATATTGTCCAATTTACAGAAGGACAAAAGTCCACCTGTCCAGTTAACAGAAGAACAAAAGTTTACCACTGACCAATCAACTTTACAGAAGGACAAAAGTCAATCAAGGACAAAAACCTACCAGTGTCCAATTTACAGAAGGACAATTAAAAGCCCACCTGTCATTATAAAAGAAGGACAAAGGTCCACCTGAATCAATTCAAAAATAAGGACAAAAAGTCTGTCCATCAAATTAACAGATGGACAAAAGTCCACACCTCCAATTGAAAAAAGAACAAAAATCTTCCACCAATATTTTTATTAATAAGCACTCAGGTTAGAACCATCAAACTTCTTCTTTAAGCAGGTTGTAATCTATGACATAACATAATTCTAGGTAGCTTGCATAGGTTTTAACCTGTTAGGCATGGATGAGGCAAGTGGTTTGTATCACAGCGTTGCCCATACAATTTTAAGGATGCACAACTAATTCTTATACATTTGTTACTGTTAAAATTACAAAATAGGCTCTGTACATTTAGTTAATACAAATTTATTTTAGTTTGATTAGTGTTAGAAGCTATAATCTTATAGAAACACTCGAATCCGTTCCTGGAGTCAACCAGTACTTAGCAATGAATGTTGTTTCTTGCTCAAGGAAACAACGTCTTGACACGGACAGGATTTGAACCCATGCCGTCAGCAATCCTTAGATTATTTAAGTCCGACCCGTTAACCACTAGGCCAGATCACCGCCACATTTATTCAGTGAGAAAAAAAAGTATACATACTAGTCTGTTATTTTCTTTCTTTGTTTCTTCTGTTATTGTTCCAAATATGGTAGGCTGAAAATAGAAATATTGTATCATAAAGAAAACATGATTAACTTTATATAATATTATCATAGGAGACATTATGAGATGTAGTTCCAGACAGATGCTGTCTATCTATCTACAATTATATGGCAAATGAAATAAGAATTCACCATGGTATTAACTCCCAGCTCTCTTAAATAAGGAAATTCTATTTTTGAGTCATTATGTTGCTTTGATGGTTCAACATGTTCATTAGCAGCAACAGTGAAAATGTGCAAAAGCATAATGCGAAAGTATATGCGCAAAGGCAATATCAATATTTTGTGCAGTCTGCCCAAAGGCTTTGGGCGACAAACTTTAAAATGTTAAAAATCTTGAATATTTATAGCCCAAAAAATTTTGGGATAATGGAACTTTTTTTTTTTTCCCAAAAATGAAGGAAAGGTTGAAACCCCAAGTCAAAATTTAAGAAAATTCAGCAGGTTCAGGGTTAATGGGAACAAGAGAATATATTATAATCTTAAACGGAAATACCCTTGTTGTTAATGTATAATTTATGAAATAAACATTAAAATTTTACATCTTTCATAATATTTTATTGTAATATAGCACATATTTAATATTAGTATGTAAATAAATGATCCCTTAATTATACAGGAGGGTGACATAAATTTGTTGATCTTTATCTCTGCTCCAGGAGTCTCCCAATCTAGTTACTTCAAGCTTCAATATCTTATCATCATTATCATCAACAGTGAAAATAATTGATAAAGTTTATTAAAATCATGAGAAAAGTATGGACTGATAATAATCTAACAGTCCCCAGGGTAGGAATGAATGTTTGTTTACCTCATTGGATGATAAAATCTTCTTAATAAGCCATTATGGGGACAATCATCATGAATCATGCCTATTTAACAAAGTAAATTATATCAGTCAACATCTAAATGACCTTTAACCATCATAATATTGTCACAAACATGTCTCCTGTACACAGGAAATAAATATTGTGGCTCACAATTACATTTTAATCAAAAATAAAAATATTGAAAATGTCACTGGAACAATACAAAATTAATTTTTACAGTAAACCAGTGTTTGGGATGAATGAGGTCTTCAATGGAAGTTACAAAGTTCATTAAATTTTTCCTGCTATAACTAAACTTATTCAATATTAAAAAGTGAGACTACTTGAATATCATAACTTTAGTCTCCTCAAATAATGTTTAAAGATTCTGTAAATATCAGCAATATACGTTTAATAAGTAAACCTTGGCTTTTAAGCAAAATTTGTTAATTTTTAATACATAATTATTGTTTACTCTCCTGACAAAAAAAAAGAACAAAAAAAACCCTTCTCTATTATCTTCCAATGTCAAAGACAAATGGACCCACTAATGTTTTCCTCTGTGATTTTTTCTTTTTACAAATAAGTTTAAATGCTGTATTAAATCATCATTTTACTCAGCTGGGCCACATTTATGTCTAAAAATATTGCCTTTTAAGTCTGAAACTGTCAAAAAAGTAAAAAGAGAGGGGAGGAGAAAGAAAATTTACAACAGCTAACATTAACAAAAGGGCAAGGCACCAATCTATCTATCTTATAACTCAATACCTGTCATAAAAGGCAAAAAGCCA